CGCAACCTAAATGACCTTGGTGTGGGTTCTTATCGCGCTGCAGTGTTGGCTGTTGGTAGAAATATTCGATGAGAAGATAGCGGGAACTCCAGCAGGCCTTGGCCTGAGATCCTGCGCTTAAGCGACTGCCTCGCCTGTGCCGCCCATCTTTCCAGGGGATGAAAACATCATCCTTGCAAGAGACAAGTCGGACAAGGGGACAAAAGCATTGAAAATGGTCTGAACCCCGATTAGTCCCTGAAAGCCAGAGGACTCGAGTCTTAGATACAGATTTTCCAACCGACACCGTGCAAGCAAGCTCACCTGAAGTCCAGATCTGCAAAGAGCCCGGTGTCAGCGGGCACCTCGACCTTTTCCGCTGGAGCTGCAGGCTCGTCAGCGTAGTTACCAGCATACGCTCGGGCGCGACCCCACTCGGCGACAGCCCGGCAGGCGGCATGCAGGGCGGGGCGAGACTCTGAGCGGAGGATGTACTCAAGCCTGGGGGACATAAGAAAACTGATTTAGTGCAGAAGAAATCTTTCCATAGACGGCACAACTCAGTACAAAAAACATTTCCCAACCACGAGAAATTGGGTGTTTCAAGACATGTTCAGAGGCACGGTCAGGGAGATTTGTCAACCAGTTGATCTGAACAAGAGAAGCACCGTCTCCAAGCGCCTCGATCTCGGATGGATGGAACAAGACATCATGCCGCATTGTGCTGCTAAAGGGCAACCTATTATAGTTGCAGTGGTCCTGAGCCGTCTCCCGAACACCCTAATACGCGTCACTTTTCAAAGCTTCCAAAACATCCGTCGGGTTTTCAGACGCTTTCCAAACCTTCCGAACTGTTTCACGCTCATCGTTGACCGCCACCAAGAGCACCGGTTCAACGGTCGTCGCTGCCGGCGCCGCCACTACTAGCGCCCTTTCTCGGCTTTGCCACTATACTTGAAACTTTTAGGGCCCATTTGAAGATCAACCCCATTATTTTCTCGATTTTATACTGAACAATGAAGTAATCTTCGCAGGCTCCTTACAGTTTCTCAACGTCCCCCGTGCCCTCACCTTTGGGCCGCGACCGAGAGCACCGGTTCAACGGTCTTCACCGTCGGCGCTGCCGCTGCAGCGCCCTTCTTCGGCTTCGGCTCTTCGCCCCCGTTCTCGACCACCATCGAGGCCTTTTGAAGAAGCATCCAGGCGTGGGCGCGAGCGTCGGGGGATCCCTCGCCGTTGATGCTGCCCACCATGCAGTTGATGGCTTCGAGCGACACCTGTCGGAAGCGCAAAAGTCGGCTTTGAACTCGATCATAGAAACAACTTTCGCCTACTTGAGAATGGCAGACGGGCATGGGAAGGGAAGAGAAGGTAACTACTTGCCAAACGTGGCATTACAGTAATTTGAAATCTCGTCCAGATGCCAATAGATCCAGACGCTGAATGGTAGCTCTGCATGCGGAAGCACGGCAATATGGTTGCGACAGGCCAGGCCACTCGTAATAGGTACAAATCGGGAATACCAGCTTGCCAGGACAATCAATAAGGTGATGATAGTACTGTCAGAGGATGCAGATAAGTAGAGAGAGAGAGTCGTACCTTTGTGCTGGGATCCAGGATGAGCTTGAAGAGTAGCGCGCCAAACTGCGACTGCAGGTCGGGCCGGGCCAGCGAGGGGGCGAACAGGAGGATGGAGCTGAGCCGGGCGAGGTAGACGCGCGCGAACACGTCGGGGCATTGGACTTGCTCGCCAAGGGAGATCGAACCTGGCACGGATAGCGGACGATTTCAGGATTCTGGTTGACGAGTCAGACCATGAAGGGCCTGCTTTTTGGGTGAGCTCGCATTGATATTTTGAGAAGTAGCACTGAGATTGCTTTCGAACAGAGACCGAACCTGGCACGAATCCACGAGTTCTCGGAAGAACCCCAGCGAACTTGGTCGGCAAGGAAGTGACAGAGTCTCTCCATACATTTCAGCCGTTTGAAGGGGAATGCCGGCGACACTAAGCTTTGTCCAGTAGACACGCACAGCCTACGCCCCCACTCTCCAGGCACGACGTATCTTCCGGCGTTAATCAGTGCCTCCTCCATGCATTTCCGTTATTGGATCAGTGTCTTCGGCATGTACGTACCACACGCCGTACCTTCAGCGGAACCCGTCCCCATGACTCTCAAAGCCCCAAAACCCGCAAGTGGCTTGCTGCCGCGTTGATCCTCGAATGCTATGAACTCAACACCAAATTGTTCCAGGGAGTCGTAAACCGCAAACGAGCGAGCACCGACACCCAAAAGAAGCCCAAGCAGATAGAAACCGAAACTTTGTACTACCGTTTGAGACATCCGGCTGGCCAGCCACGCTTGAAGCGAAACCTATCAGACAAGAATATGGGTACATCCGCAGAGCTCAACGTTTTTGTACATAAGAGTCCCTAGAGACGCACCATCTTTGGACATCTTTGAGAGAGCCGAGGCGACGCCAGTTGGGTTTGCAATGGCCAGCGTGCAGAGGATCGCAAGCGCATGCCTTGCAGCGACCGGGTCAGCTGCACCAACTCCCTGCAGATCAAAACGAGAAGATTCGCTCAGATCCTCGATTGAGTGTAAGCCGTCATCCGATTGTCGTCGATACGTAATCGGGACGCCAATGCTCAACCACAGTCCTTCAACGATCGAGCTCGGTCTTCGCTTCGAGGCACATGCCCACTTTGACTCAATCACTCAAGTAAAGCGCAAAAATCTCGACCTTCTAAGCAAAAGGCCTGTTTAAAAAGAGATATAATGATTCCTGTTCTGATGGACAAGTACCAGGCAATGTTCTTGACGGACGAAGTCCATCTTTCGTACCGGGAGCATCAACCCCAAGGCGGTTCTATCAAAAGATCATATCGTTCCCCTTGAAAAGAGTGGTCGTCATTCACCTGCGCAGAGTAGTTGAGGAGCTGCTGATTCCCAGGGTCTGCCGGCAGCCTCCGGAGAGCCGCCAGGGCCGCGTACTGCAGGTTCGCTCGAAGCGCAGTTTCCTTGTCGATTGAGGATCTTCCAAAGATCCCCCGCTTGGCGCGTTTCAGTTTGGACCCATCATTTACCTGACAAGTAGACCGTGAGTCAGGTTCTGCTACTGTTGTGAAGAAACCTTTTCGAGATAGCAGTCTGTTGTCAGGGATGCGACAACTTCCTCAATATGAGATACTATGCCACCCGTTCCTGCACTCGGTCAATGATGCACCAGAAGAGATCGACAAGTCAAAGATTGAATTCGGGACTGTAGGACGCACGACGCTTTTCTGACGTTCTCCGAACAGCGTTCATCTGCTGCTCGAATCGCTGAAGAATGAACCAAACACAGGATAGAAGCAAGAGCAAGTAAGCTACAAGGGAACACAATATCAGAACCTTCGGTGACATGCCTGGCCGTTTGCCGATTCCCTCTTCGACATCATTACGACAAAGTTCCAAAAGCAACCTTCCGTCTCGCTGGCAACCATCATTCTGCCAAGCCACGAACCTGTGCCAGCATCTCAAACGCCGCCTGCGCCAGCTTGCGCATGGCGCCCTCCAGGAACGGCGGCGCGTGGGCCAGAGCGCTCAAAGCAGCCACCCGCCGCCCATGAGATGCGGGATCCTTCTTCCCGGCCTCCTCCGCCAGCTTGTTAACCACCTGGTCAAAAGAGAGGTTAAGTACGAAACCTGGGGCAGTTATAAGATTCAAGATCGGTTGAGACATCGCAAAACGTGCTGCATGTTCAGCATGAGATCAGATTGTTGCCTCGATGCAAAAGCCAGGTCGACTTGGACACACTGCTAAACGTCTTGAAACATGTCCAATTGTAAAACATACACCGACGCGGCTCCTAAGTAGAGGTCTGTTCTGTAGGAGGGGTGCTACAGTTGAACATCTTGTCCGCCAGATATCAACAACTTCAAGAAACCATCCGCGCCCGAAGTGAAGATGAAATCAGATTCTTTGAAGAGGTTACAACGATTATCAGCTTTACTAAGTATTGGGTCTCCCTCACCTGGTTGATCAGCTCGGTTTTGTCTCCAGCGGTTGGAGTCGACGAACCCCCTAGAGCTTCCCAGTTCGGACCAGCGGTGCCAGGCGTTTGCGGGGCGCTTTTAGAGGTCCCGACCTCTCCCAGGATGCGGCCCAGGTAGTAGAAGACATACCGAAGGGTCGCGCGGTCTTCAACTTGGAGGAGCTGCGGGGAATGCACATGTTCTTTTAGATGCTGGAAACACTGATAATACGCCAAAACGTTTGTCATAAAGCGTCCGGGCTCAGCTTAGCTAATCCCTTCAGCTTGCTCTAGATCGTAGTCATTCTCGCAACTGGTACTGATCCGAAGCACCAACTGGCGGATCAGACTCCCGCTCGGTCTTGTCAGGATACTTTCTGCAGAAAAGCATAATTTATGAGGAACTGAAGCGAAGGGAAAAGTCAAATAGTACAGAGAGAAGTTGTGAGTCGTGCTACTTGCAAGGACTACGGAGATTAGAAAGCCAATACGTCAATCTTTGAAAGGTGGATAACCCGCGATTGGAGACAAGCAGAGCCTTAAGTAGTTTGATGCTCGGCTGTACCTACATGGGGCAAAGGCCACTCATCTGTAAGCAACAAAGTGCATGCGCTGCGTGAATTCAAAAGAGCATGATTGCTAGAGAGGAAAAAGACAAGAGAAAGCTCACCTTCAAGAAAGCAGGCACCAGTTGTATGTCCACTGTGCTGAAGACGGAAAGCTTGGGGAAGATGCTGCTCACAAGCTGCTTCTGAGTGGTTTTCTGCATTTTGCCATGATATTGTCTCAGTTGGAGGAAAATCCACTCAAATGTGAACGGTTTCAACGTTCAGCTGTTTGGCAGGCAACACCTGACAAGTGTTTTTTCACGATTTCATGATGGGATCTGTATACCTCCTCGACTCAGCGCTGACCATGACAACAACCTCGGCCGGGGAATCTGGACATGCTATGCTAACAGCTGATTCCCCTGGCGACCCCTTGACCTGATGATTAGTGCACCTGAAGCTAAGCTGAGGATCTGAGCCGCGTTATTGTTAGTTAGGAGAAGGCATAAAGGGTTCCAGTACGCCCTGACTTTTGTTATTTCCTCATGTTTTCTTGATTATCCGTACTGCGTGCAACCAAGGTCCTATGACTTGCCAGGTGGACGGCATCGTGGTTCCCCCTTCTGCCAGAGCGACTTGTATTGTCAAATTCCGCCAACAATATCATAGCACTTCCATTCAGGTCTTACCTGATCCCCACTGGCCGCCAGTTCGATGACTGACTTCGCCAGCTGTCCGTAAGAGATAGGCTGCACATAGCAACATTCACATAAGTCAGCATAGCATGACATTCCCAGCAAAGTTGAAATCACCTGATTGGCACTGCATCTATGATACTCACATCATTGCAGGTAACAAGGAGGGGCCGAGGAGCGTCAGCTCCAATTATGAGTGAAGCTGTGGGCCTTGCTTTGTAACTTAAAAATCATGATTGAGAAAAAGCCCAGAGCAGCTTCCAACGGGGCATTAAATATTCGACCAGAATCGACTGCAGTCTTTTAAAGTGGCTCCCAAGTACACAAACCGAAATCACAAGTACAAAGCGCTGGCCAATGCCAGATGCCTGTTTACTGAAATCATCTGAATTGGAGGCAAAACAGGCATGATTGTGACAGAATGATCGCTTGCAATGGACAATTCTCACCACCGGTGTCTCAACAAGCAGTGGAAGCTCAGCCACTTCAGTTTGAGCAAGTCGGTAGAACGATTAGTGAAGTGTCGACAACCACCAGCTCATTCAATGATCGTAGGAAATATTTAGGCAACAACCAAAGCCTTTCATCTAAGCGCACATATCACCAATCACAATTATCAATTGAATGGCATTCTAGGGGCAAAATCCCCGTTAGTAACCTCGTCACATTGTAGTGCAACTGCCAGCGGAAGATTCCCGAACGCATGCCAAACCAGATTGTTGACAAACTCCATATGCAAATATGCTGCTCAATTGTGCAACGGAGATTGGCTGCACATTGATGATTGCTGGTGCACTCAAACTGATCAGCGGCAAAAGTGCATTTCATGTTGACCCTTGGTGGTTTCCAGATAGTAGCTCGATCAACCCACTCTCATTAGTCCAGAACTTCCCGCGCAACTTGAACAGAATTCGTTTATTGGATTACCACAACAGGTCGCAAAGTTCCCAGGAAGCATGCAACTTAGGCAGAACCTTCAAACATACGCACAAATGCAATTGCACCATACCTTCTTCTTCTTCGCGTCTGCAGGGGGCGCTTGCGCCTTGCTGGCTTGGGGCGGCACTCCATCAACCGGGAGGCCAGAAGAAGACGCACCCTTCTTTGAGCTCTTCTCCGCTTTCTTGCCTGATTGCGCAGGGGTGTGATCCATAAGATCCATGAGGTTCCCCGGCGCCCCTCCATTTGCAGCCATTATCTCTGTGGGTCCTCTTCAGAGCCTCTTGTTTGAATAGCTAATGACCCAGGTGGTCAGTTTACAGCACTACGAATTCTGACGTCCAATTGTCATAACATTCCATCAACTCGACGCAAGTGTCCATGCCTCAGATTGTCTCAAAAGTGTTGGCTGGCCAGTGGTCACCCCCTCAGTAGCGACCATAGCGCCGCCCCTTGCATTTCTGGTGATTGTTCCACAGTCGAGCACTTGCTGGTTGCTTCGTGCAGGATGTCTCGTCCAGGAACACTTGTGTTAGAACTTAAAGTTAGAAGTTTGAACACCATTCCTTGAATACTGGGGGACATCGCTGCTGATATTCACTGCAGATGTCCAACCCGGGGAAGAAACAAACCAAGCCCTTAACCTGAAACGATGACGCCCTGCGTACAACGTATTGGCCTTAAACCCCCGGACTAACCCTACTCGTCCCCGGGATCTGATCAGCACCGCCCTCCGTGAACCGAAATCCTTGACTCAGTGAAGCCAAAGACGGAATGTAAACTCTGGACGGCTGGGATTGCTGTTGGCTAGACGGTGGGTTTCATCGGAGCGCTCAAAGTTCTCCATGCACCTGGAGGCTGGAAATTCGGCATCCACTGAAGGCTGAAGCTCCTGGAGCTGCTGGACAGAGGAAAGAATTTCCAGGTCGAGCTGAGCCTGTGGCATTGTCAAGTTCCAGTACGTGGTCATTGAACAGGATTCAGAAGAGATCCATCACTGCCAGCAGCAGGCGATCCAAGATCTTGTATGCCTGAGTGACAACTTTCTTCGTCCAAAGGATCCTTCAAAGACGCATTGCGAACACAAGTAGCTTTTGTTTCTGGTTGCAAACCCCATTCGACACCATCAAAAGCAGATTCAGCCTTCGCCATTGCGGTGAATCGCAAGCATGGCATCAGCGCTTGCACGGAGCAGCCTTCCGCTTCAGCCCCGACTTGCTGCGCAGCATTCTGCTCCCGAAAAGAGATCACAGTCGAGCACCCCCATCAGATCTAGCTCACCAGGGCACGCGCGGTGTACTCAAACCCGTGCATTCAAAGGTTTCAATGGTCTGCGGGCTTCTTCTCTGGTTTCCAGTGGATCTGCACAAAATGTGAATACGCTCTTCAAAGATAAGGTGGCTGCTGCAGCTCTGCCTGGCGCCCATTCAGGAAGGGGCAGGAGGGGCCAGATTGTCTGTGGCGATGGCATGAAGCTCGTCTTTGTTAGTGCTGAGGTTGCGCCTTGGTCGAAGGTGAGGTGTTGATCTGCAGTTAGTGGTTCTACAAAATGATTCTTTCATGAGTCGAGAACAACTTTTGGTTGCTTTGTTGGAGCGTGAGCTAGGGATCCTCTCAAGAAGAAGCCTGCGCAATGCATTCTGCACTGTTGACAGTGGCGCCATTGTGTGCTGAATCGGGATACTTGTGCTGCTCAGCAGCTGGTCAGCACTTAGAGATAATCAGATATTGACTCTTGGAAACCTGGATAGAAGGTATAACCAAGTTCCTGCATTGTCCTATTGCAGACTGGCGGCCTTGGCGATGTGCTTGGAGGGCTACCACCGGCGCTTGCTGTAAGTCAACAATATTGCAAACATGCTTTCAATATCGAAGTCATGCTTTTGAGAACTCCACTTCAGAATCTCTGCTTTGATCAGTCCTTGTTCTAAAACAGATTGTTGTCCAACTGGACAGGTGACTGTCAGCGGATACCCTTCAACCTGTCATGGCGCTTGTAAGAGTTTCTCAGATGATGGATGTTGAACCATGCTTGAAACCTTGCCATGCTTGAATCAGTGAGCAAGTGAACTTTGCACACCAAAGTAGTGGTTGGAGTGTGACACTCATGTTATTTTCGCACTGTTTTTTGGGGGTTCGTGGGGTTTCTGCCACCATGTTGCAATGTTCAGGCATCTTGAAGATCTTGATGCAATCCACTTCATGACGATGATAGGGTCGCTATTCCCCTTCCCCTGGATGGCGTTAGTGAGATGAATTGAGTTCAGCTCTATAAGCAATGCCGCCGCGGCTGTCACTTCGAAGCAATGCATCAAGAGAATCATTATTGCTTGGTTATGCGGTTTGAGAACCAGAGAGATAGGCAAATGTCTCACTTTCTTGACATACCTTAAGTGCTCTCATCCTTCTAAATCGTACAGGCACGTGGACACCGGGTTATGACGGTTTCCCCTCGGTATGACCAGTACAAGGATGCCTGGGACACTGATTGCACTGTGGACGTAAGTTGGTCAGACGAAGCTTTCCAGGGTGATTAGAAGTCAGAAATTCAAGGCTTCGTTACTGAATGTTGTCCTAGGAATGCTTTTCTCCATCAGAACCGTCACCTTTGATTATGCGCCTAATGGGGGTTCAATCGAGCAATCCTGACAAAGTGTTTAAAAATTGCACCACGCTAAAGCAACAAGCTGCAGGACCAAAACAGTGTAGCACTGCTACACAAGCCTCTGTAGCAAATCCACAAGAAGGGAAGCAGACAATGATCCCCAGCTGGTTGACAGACGAGTGTTCTCATTGCGAGTGGCATGGTTGGAATGCAAAAAATGCATTAGATGCGCGCGTGAAGTGGCACGGTTCAGATGGCGCCGACATCCAGGGTTGCTTGTACCATGAGTGCGAAGAGTCTTTCAAGGGCTTTTATTAGTTGCGAAACTCAACGAGAGGAGACTGAATCACTTTCCGCCTCGTGGTGTGGTTCGAATTCCAAATGGCTCGACTATAATAAGATGCTCAGAATGTTTAGTGTTTGAGTAAGAACCTTATGACGGACTCCTGTCCAACCTGCATTTTTCTAGACCGATAAATGCCTTGGGTCGTCAAATTCCTATTTTACTTCACTGTTCTGGACCACGGACATTACCTTCTGGAGATGGGAACAGAATCTCACGAAGCAGAGTCTTCCTTTTCTTTACAGCTGAAGGTTGGGGACAAGATGGAGACGGTGCGCTTCTTCCATTGTTACAAGCGAGGTGTCGACCGTGTGTTTGTGGATCACCCTCTCTTCTTGGCAAAGGTAAGAAACCCCACTAAAGGTGCAACCGCAGCGGCAAAGCATCAGAAAACATCCCGAGCTTCACAGCCTGAACAGTGCCATACGTCCAAACAACAGAGGTTGGATGGAGACCCTTCTCGAATAACATTCGAAGCTTAGATTCCAGACATGTGCATTGGAAGAGGTAATGTGAAGTGATCACAGAGCCGTACAGATATAGCATAATTGGGTATGCGGTTGTCATTCACGAGTAGTACAGACAAATCTCAATTCTCGACTGACTTAAAACGCCATTCAAGTGGGGATATATCATGCTTTCTTGTAAAGATGAAGGCCGCTTTTGGCACATTACAGGCCTTCGTTTCTTCGAAAAATAAACAGATAAAAATCAAGGTGTGAAAAGTAAAGCCATTAGTTTTACTCGAGCAATTTCAATTCTCAGGTGTGGGGCAAGACTGGCGGCAAGATCTACGGGAACAAGACTGGCGAGGATTTTGAGGACAATCAGCTGCGGTTCAGCCTCTTCGCTCAGGCGGCCATTGAAGCCCCCCGTGTGCTCAACCTGACAAATAGCCCCCACTATGACCGGCCGTACGGTGAGCTGAGGACAGACAATGTTTGACAATCTTCGGAATCTTCAGCAAGTGCTCTTCCCCCCTGCTTCCCTTTCTACAAGGATCCGCTGGCGCGTTATGAATTGGTTGACTAACCGGGCTCTGGTCTATTTGTTCGGCTTGTTCTGTCGAAACCACTTATGTCGCTGCCCTAGACCGTTGGAACGGAGTTCGAGTGCCATGTTCGTGGTAGCAGCTAAGAGTTGCACCAATGCCAGACGAAGCGCTTTGAACTTCAATGTTGTGACCCTGTTTCAAGCAGAGTAGATCGCGATGGCTTGCTAGAAAGCTGAAGTGTGTTCGTTTAACAAGTCGCAAACCTACTGAAGCACAGGGTAATCGACTTCTTGCCCCGGCTCTTGGCTCAGAAGTCTCAATTTCTAGAGCCCTGTCCCCAAAAATGACTTCGTAAGTTACTTCGTTTCTCCCCCAGGCGAGGACGTCGTGTTTGTTGCGAACGACTGGCACACTGCCCTCCTTCCCTGCTACCTCAAGTCGCAGTACCAGCCGAATGGTCACTTCACCAGCGCTAAGGTGGGTGTCATGGTCAGCGTGCAAGTGAAGCAGGCATACTGTTCAAATCTTCTAGCGTGAATTTCTTCCATCTTTTGTCCGCAGATGTCCTTCGAGACAACCTGCTGACTCCATGGATCCGCCAAAAGGATGCCTTGGGTGGTTTGATAGTAGTCAACATCGCTGTCCCGTTGCCGCCTCGAGATGCAGACGAAGGTGTTGGCAATTTGAGATACGCTTGTGCTTGTACAAAGCCCTACACCGCTCATTCGATGACGTCACCCGTGAGTCCGCCCCCGCCCTGACCTCATGCTGACGTCACGCAGGTCGCCTACTGTGTCCACAACATCGCCTACCAGGGCCGCTTCGCCCCCACCGATTTTGCCAGGCTCAACCTGCCCGACTCTTTCAGAGACTCTTTCGACTTTTGGGACGGGTGAGCAATTCTCCTGATAGTCTGGGTAGATGCAGCACGGAGCTTCTTACTCTGTTGTGCTGTTCGGTGCAATCACTTTGGAATCAAGCGCAGATGGTCGACACAAATCATATTTAGAGACACAGACTCATCTTTAGAGCAAGGGCCAGGATTGAGCTTCTTTCTTTGTTCGGGAAAAGGTAAAATTGGCAGAGAATGTAGAGTTGGTAGCGGTGAGGAGGTTCCAATGTGTTCCTGGCATCCGTTGAACTCATACGTCAGTACCAACTACCGAGAGCGACCTGCACTTTTTAAGCTGAGAGCAAAATTGGAACGATCTTGCAAACTTTCTACCTGTTTAGCAAAGCACGGTTCCGGCAAGAAGATCAAAAGGAAGAGGGCCGCATTCGTGGAGTCTATCTACTTCTTCCCGTCAGACCTGACGACCGCGCTCCATTTGCTCCGTAAATGGAGCAAATGGAGCATTCAAAAGCTGAACTTACTAACACAACGTGCAATCTGTTCAGGTACTCAAAGCCCGTGGCTGGCAAGAAGATCAACTGGATGAAGGCCGCGTTCCTGGAGTCCGATCTAGTTCTCACCGTGAGCCCCAACTACGCGAGCGAGCTGGTGTCCGGCCCCGACAAGGGCGTCGAGTTGGACGATATCGCCAAGAAAGTGGGCGTCAAGGGGATCGTCAACGGAATGGACGTGGCGGAATGGGACCCGGCGAGCGACAAGTACCTGGACCAGACGTATGACCTGGACACAGTAAGTTTCAGAATCACTTATGGTGTGTTTGGCTACTGGGCTTCAATCGCGGAGGGTGTCAGTCGACGTATAGGAAGAGCTAAGCGTCAAAGGGAACGTGATCAAAATGGATGTTACCGAGTAGGATCCAGCAAGTAGAGTTACCTGGACCGATAGTACAACCGGATACGGTGAGCATTTGGATGCTTTACAAAGAGCCTATTTCTTCCATTATCTTGGTGGAAGTTCCAAAAGTTTGGGGGGAGTGAAAATCTACTTCAACGGCTTTCATCGACGGACTGGATGGTTTGGGAATCGACCTGGTGAGCGTTTACCTGGGTCTACGAAACGACTTGGGAGGCGGTGAGTCTGTTGGAACCTAAAAATCTGTACCATTTGTGCCAACGTACACAAAACGATTGGGGTGAAGCAAAAAAATTTACCAAGATCAGTCAACAGCATTGCTGGAACCGCCTCTTTCGGACCAATTTACATCCGGCATCTGTTCCTCTGTCATGATCGTTGCGCACAAATAGGGCGCGCTCAAAAGCCGAATGAACCTCGTTCCTGGCCCAGAACGGACTCTTCTTCTGCACTAGTTCAGTATTCACCCGGATTCCGTTCCCTTTTCACCAACGGAACCCGGTTTCTCTCGCAGGTTCTGGAGACGAAGCCCATCCTGAAGGAGGCCCTGCAAGCGGAGGTCGGGCTGCCGGTCGACCCCTCCAAGCCGTTGATCGGCTTCATCGGACGGCTGGAAGAGCAGAAGGGGTCGGACATTCTGGCGGGGGCCGTGGGCGACATCGTGAAGGCAGGGGCGCAGCTGGTGGTCTTGGTAGGTCGCAAATCATTCACACTGACCTCAATCTGCAGCTTTGTGGTTGGTCTGTCTTGCTTGAAGGTTTATGACGTTGCGCTTGTTCTGCTTCGCCAGCGAGCCGAAGGAACAGCTTGCGGACAGCTCAGCGTCAAGAGAGACGCACTGAGTAGCACTTTGCACGCAGCATCAGTGCGCATGTCTTCTCGAGCTTGAACCTGTCAGACCCTCAACCGCAGCGAGGGGCGGCTTTCTATGTCTGTCCGGGTCCCAAATACTTGTGTACGAGCAGAGTAGGGGTGTCAATATGCTGTCCAGGTCAAGAAGATGATAGATCTCGGGAAAGCAGTCAGGGTACTCGTACACATCATTTGGCCTGCATGACCGCTATGCTCACATGCTGACATGCTTTACTGTTAAGATGAAATACAACGAGGAAACACGAAAAAGAAACTGACATCTCTGGTTAACCCGGGGCTTTCTCTCGAGCAGGGCACGGGCAAAAAGTACCTAGAGAAGCAGCTGGACGAGCTGGACGCCAAGTTCCCCGATGGGGCCCGGGGCATCGTCAAGTTCAACGTGCCGCTTGCTCACCTGATCATTGCGGGTAAGGAGGCGCTTGAAGTTTTCGCGGGGCTGTTTCGGGTAGTGGATGGATTGCAGCTTTCAGATTTGATGTGTGCTTCAAAGTGGAGGGTCTTGAAAAAAATGATCACTCATCATTCTTCCGTTTCGGGCTCTTGAAAGAAATGTTTGGAGAGAACATTTTTGGAAAGTATCTTCTGATCTCAGATTCTGTCCACAAGTGCCGGGCCCGGCGTGTTTCGACTCACCGACCTGACAGTTATGATCTTTGTTGCTGCCCAAAGCAGAACAAGGCTCGTCTTTCTTCTCGTTGAAAATGTCTTCCAGTTGGCTGACGTCGCATGCCTTGCCCGCATGCTGTGATGAAGTCTCAGGCGTTGACTATCAGACGGTTCCGGCCGCTTGGAAGACTGGCATCCTGACTTGCGATTTTTTTCTGACCGACTTTGACGTTCCTCGGGAAAACCCTCTAATCCTGAGCTTACTTATGTCTTCCTTCTGCTGACGTCACTCTGTGCGCTGACGTGACATGCGCCCACTGCCTGGTGATCCTCAACCGCTTCGAGCCTTGTCTCGCCTGACTCAAAAGGGCACCGTTCCGATTGTCGCTTCCACAAAGGGGCTCTTTGACACTATCCAATTTGCTGCTGACCTCCTTGAATCCGCTGACGTCACAGGCGCGGACTACCTCGTTGTTCCGAGCCGCTTCGAGCCTTGCGGTTTGATCCAGCTGCAAGCAATGCGCTACGGCACCGTTCCGATTGTCGCTTCCACTGGCGGACTGGTCGACACCGTTACCGAGGGCGTGACCGGTTTCCACATGGGAGAGATGGACGTCGACTGTGAAGAGACCAAGCCAGAAGACGTGAAGAAGGTGAGTCGTTGACGTGTTAGAAGCTCAGTGTCAACTTATTGCGGGCCTCTACCAAGAGAGCAGCGGATTCTTTTAGCGTGGACGCAATCAATTCGTCGAAGAAACCTGACGTCGTCAGGTAAGGACGCCAGCGTGTCTCCCGATGTCACTGCTCGCCCGTGTCAAGATTGTTGGGTTGCAAAGGGCGGTCGTTTTTTCCTACCGCTGGAATGAGTGTCCATCGTGTAGCCACCGCTTCTCATACCTGAAGAAGGTGCGGAGCTGCTTCTTTGAACTACAAATCAGACCGTGGCCACCGTTGCTAGAGGTGGAATTGGACCCAATACTCGATCAACAACAGGTTCACCTGACCGCCAACCTGACATATAACCTACCTGTAGCAATTTGGCTCCGATTCTCTCTCAGGTTAGGCGGGTCGAAGTTAATTCCCGGTTTCGGTCCTTACCCCCTTTTGATGGGTCGGTCGGTCCGGGAAAAACACTACTTGGTTTTATGCTACCATGTGCAGAAAATAGGATATTGTTGGGCCTAAATCCTACTTTTTGCCCCAGGTGTCACAGTTTTCGGATTGCCATGACCCAGAATCGCCAAAATTAGGTTCAATAGTTGACAGTGTTGATATAATGTTCTGCACAATTTTGGGATTCTGGATCAGTCGAAGACCGGAAACCGGGACTTGACTTCGGATGGCCTTAGGAGACACTCAAAAAGAAGGGATAACCCATTGGTTGCTTCACTGCAGGTCGCGGAGGGCGTGACGAAGGCGCTCGAAGTGTACGGGACGCCCCAGTTCGACGAGATGATCAAGGCGTGCATGCAGCTGAACCTGTCGTGGGAGGTGAGCCACGTCTACTTTACTTTAGGTGCTGCGGTTCGCAACTGTGATTTTAATCCATCATTGAAATAGCAATGCCCTCTCAGGGCGGTTTCGTCAGGTCGAACGGCTTGGCAAAACCGTCCAATGTTGGTGCGCCAGATCTGAGAGAATGGTCGAGGCGGTATGCAGTTGAACCTGTCGTGAGAGGTGAGCGTTCGTGTCTGTTTTTCCTGGTTGCTGCATCTCAGAGTTTGCGTTGAAGCAGACGGTGTACCATTTTACGTTGCGGCGGCAGAGTTGCGGAGATATTTGGTACGTCACAGTTGACCAGCAATCAAGGCTTTTTGTTGGAGGTGGGCTTCTATCCGACTGTCTGCGGGTGTTGTAACTTTAGTTCTCCCGTCATTGTTTGCTATTAAAGCATCTTTGGAATTGAATGACTGTCTCCGGGTTTTGTCTCTTCGTGGTTCAAGCACGCTCTGCGGGTGACGGACCTCCGGTTCTCGCATTTGGCAAAAAGGGGCTTGCTGTGCACCCGGCGAGAAGTGTGCAGACGTATGCAACGAAGGCAACCCTTGCCCGCATATCAAACAGTTGTCAAGCAAGGCTTGTCCGTTCGTTACAGTATGTTAAAGCCCAACCCCCAATTCTGAAGTCTGGATGCAGAATGAAGGGTAGGTGAAGAGTCGTGGAGAAGGCTGCGTTATGGTATGACTGAGAGTGACGGGTCTGTGGACACCTGATATTTGCTGCAGAACCCGGCCAAGGAGTGGGAAGCCGAGCTGCTGAAGTTGGGCGTCGCCTACAGCGAGCCTGGCAAGGAGGGCGTTGAGCTGTACCCCAAGACGAAGGAAAATGTCGCCACTCCCTAAGCGTAACGGAGTGGTTGAAGCCACGTGTTCGTCTTCGGGCGCGCCACCTGTGTCTGCGTGTTTCATAGTGCGACTCAACTCGCAAGTGCTAAGGTAGAGAACGTTGACAATCCAGCTTTGACCCAAATCGGGAAGCGAGCGGAGAGCACGGTTTTGTAGACACGCCAAGAGAAGGGCGTTTGAAGCGCATGTCCTTGCGTGTGGTCAGCGTCAGTACTTTGAGCTCAAATCAACCTGAGCATCGAGCGAAAGGTCGTAGTTGACAGCTCAAGCGGAAGAGAATCGATCGTTAGTCCGCGGAGCTTGAGAGTGGATAAGAGCAAGTAAGTCAAGAATCGTACTATTGATTAATGACCTTCAGAGAGTGATTACCTTCCAATGCACAAACGTCTGACCCAAGACGGCCCCCAAAACTTGAGCATTATGTGCTTTGTCAACGGCAAGGAGCGTCAAAAGGATTCTAGCTGGAACTATCATTCATTTCCATAATAGCTACTTAATCGAGTCTTTGTAAGGTCTGAAGGACGTTCAAGGTTGATGGTCAGGTCATGCAATGTGCGGCTCCCAAGTCACAGCTCTAAAGCCTGCAATGTCGGACTCACGACTCAGACGAGATTCCCGAGGCGCACCTCAAGCAAGAGTGGCATCTATAAGCAACTTGAACACGTCAGCTAGATGTGTGATTCTTGATACGATCACAACAATGCATGCCATGAGTTGCCAAGTTGTTGTACGCATGCTACACAGATTAGCATTGCCCATGCGTGCAGCAAGTTCGGACTGCGGGAGGGCCAGGATCTCCAAGCCACATCATTGCGCATGCCAAGACGTGCCACAGTGGGGGATGCAGCCGGTCTGAGTCGATATATCACTCGACCTCGGTCGGCCTATTGAAACCAGGATGCGGCCCCTGCTTGCGAGTAGAGTTGTATCATAGCTATTATCGATCATTTCAACCTGCACAAAATATATGCAATTACTTAATATGGATTCATGCCGTCGTCAAAACTTCGGAGCTCGTGTAGAAACTTTCATTGCCATGCATGCAGCCAGATCGAGCTGAGCATGCCGTGATAAACTTTAACGAGTGCCAGCTAGCACCCTCTCATGCAATCAACTTCATGTGCGTGTCGGTGTTCTTCTACACCGGCATGATTCTATAGTGATCAGTGCATGCCAGAATATATATCTGTCACTTAATTGCGTTCGATCGCGCCTAGTCTGGCCCGCACCAATAGGTTGAGTCGCGGTTTTAATATGCGGCGCGCCGGGCCTGCAGGCGCCCAGGGGCTCATTCGATCGGTACCAAAGTAAGCTCTTGAGTGCAATCCGTTTTTAAAAGTGCAGGCTGGGGAAAGAAACCACGGTCCAGTCGCCGGCTTCATTGTATTTCGCAGAGATGCACGTACCAGGCCCGGGCCGTCCGTGCGTGCGCCGGCACTCAGTGTAAGCCGGGAGCCCCATACTCGTGCATAAGTCGAGCTTTGCAATTGCATGAAGGTGTTCAAATAAGAAATCAAACTTCATAAGAAATCAAAGTTCATAAGAGATCAAAGACGGTTAGCGATCAGATCGGACCGCGACGTCAAACACTGTTGTTTCGACGACATCATTTGAGTCCAAAGCTTCGCTCTCTGATCAAGTCTGGTGTACGTCGAAACAATACTAGAACAATCGGTAATGATCCTCATTCCAAATGAATGCTGTGTCCGTACATATGCACCCGAGTCGTGTTCAACGCTTTAGTATGCAATGCAATGCAGATTTGGCTGACTGTGAAGAGGAGTGGCCAGCTCTATGGCTCCACTTAGCCTTATCTGGAAGTCGGGATCATAATGTCAGAATTACGGCTTATACTGAAAGCTACTTCATGTTCTGCAAGCGTTTATAGAAGCCGTTCTTGAAGCAGACTATACGTATTCAAAAGTTTGCACGAGCTCAGTGCACATCTTTTGCTTCTATCGGTTGCCGCGGCAAGGCCTATGTCTGTATCCTTTTGCGGATGTTTTGCTTTATACCATTGAAGTTCATCTGCGCTGCATCGAAAGAAGTCACGTCTGACACGTGGCAGCTTCCATCCTCTCGCTAAGTGTTGCTGGAGACGGAGCTCAGACTCCTTGCGCCCAGTCCTCTTAACGACAACCGACGTTTATAACTTAGTATCTTTGCGGCGATACCTACAGTTACAATAGTGTTTTGCTCGTATGACAGGAGACCTACACCGACGGCTCAGCCGTTTATCAGTGTTTATCAGACTACCTCATCTAGTGGAGCAGGCTGAACGCGCGCGTTCCAGCGTGTGCTTCACTTTGACTACAAAGCTAACCTCGTTTTTCAAAGCCGGACCTTTTGACAAAGTCAAAGCTCGTCCTTATCCGAAAGAACTCGTCACTTTTATAGAAGCAGAGGCCCACCTAAGCTGCACGCTCAGTGCCATGACCGCCCGCCACAGCCTAGCTATAACCGATGCATCGGGCCCATAGCTTATCACCAACCTCCATAGCTTATCACCACACCTCCCAGCTTCCGCCCGATAGCTCCTGCCATATACTCTTCCCCCCGTGCGCCTCTATTCTCCTGACGCCCTGCCACCACTGTGCGATCACCCCCGCCTCCCGGTTCCCCTGATCATGCCCCCCCCGGCGCTGCGCCCATCGCTTATTAAGCTCGCTCACCTTATCGAGCACCATATCCCAGTGGCATTTGATACGCCAGTCGGAGACCACCGCGCTTATTGGCCGCCTTTGCAGCTCCGCATGCATCTTCGCTCGCGTGCTGACTAGCGACATGAAGGGGATGCTCGCCCCCCTCCGCAAAACACCCCCCACCAGAGGCGACTCCGAGTTTGCCCCGCAGGGGGAGTGCCCGAGTTGCTTGGAATCCATCTCCGCCACACCGCTTGGCCGGTCTGACTGAACTCTTCCCCCCCCGGATACTGGCCACACCCCCGTTCCAAACTGACCCTCTCGCGATCGCTCGCTTGTAAAACGCGCCCCACTCAACCCCAAACCTGCCTCATACACACCTTCCCGGCAATCAAATTCACGTTCTCCCACCTTATAAGCAACTTCAAAGCTACTCCTTCTATGATCTGACCCAGACTCCGGTCTCCGGCAGTTACCCGCAGATCCCCCCTTTTTGCCTTCTGGACTTTTCCCCTCTCCTTGACACCCGCGCTTAAGCTCCCCCCCCCAGTATTCACTCTCAGAGCAGTCCCCATCTGAAACCTCTTGCCAGCTGTCATAGGCCCCCCCCTGCGCATGTGGGCTGTTCACCGAGTCTTGCGAGTGTGACACGTCAACCTTACCAAACCAGGATTCCGGCCATTCTAAAACCAGTCCCGGCAGAGGTGTAACTGAGCTTGCGGTGGTCGTGACGCTAGTGGAAAGGAACGCATCAGGCGTCACGCGACTAGGAAACTCCAACCGGGGGGAGTGCTCTATAGGAATCTCTAGGCTGGTTTCCATCCCGCCAAAAGCTCAGCTTTGAGCTACGCGAGTGAGCAATAGAGCATAGCACAGAGGCAAGATGCCCAATAACAGCTGGCAAGTTCCGATTCTATTTGGGCACTCCAATTTGTACAGGAGACGCCAAACTTACAGTGGCTGGAACCAGATGCTCTCCCTTGAAAACTTTTCTCTCGCTGCGCAACTCGACGATAGGAAGCCTCAAGGCTGCTCTCAATTACCAGCTGTCAACGCGTGCATGGACGTTGGTCGTAGTACTGCTGATGCTATCAGTGCAAGTGCTGATGTATGATGGTGCAAAGCCCAGCAGTCCAGCTTGTTGAGAACTTTTGGAACAGCGCTCGTCTGGCAATGTCGGTGAAAGGCTCCTTGTATGAAGAGGGTCCGCATTCTGAGCGGATGATCTGGCTCGAACCCTCGGTTGTCCTGAGTGTCTAAAGTGAGAGCTACGTCGAGAATCCGCACTCCCCTTCTTCTTCAGATCTTTTACTACCAGCAGATCCTATTGCAGTGCCTCAGATGCTCAGTGAGTAATCTCGAAATTAATCCTAGGCGCATAACAAGGAACCCACTTCGCGCCGCAGCTTTGCATCGCAGCTGTCTACCAGCGGCACTTGTTAGCCGAACTAAGACGCTGCTAGTGCTAGCTCGATCGTAAGGCTTGATTCATCTACAGTTCCACATGGCATGAGTTGTGCGGTGTGGGTTGATCACACAAAAACTGTGCGGCTGTCAAGGCCCAGGCAAATCTATAAAGTAAAGCTTGCATTTTTTGAGTGAGCAGCACTGCAACAGTACACGAAGTCTTATAAAAGCTCTGAAGTCTAGCCTGTGGGTAGTTCAGATCTCGAAAAGCTGGCGACCGTTCGCGCTCCAACAGTCGCCGACAAGCAACAAGAGTGATACGGGCAGAATCACAATCGCTGCATGCGATCGACCGTACTGTCAGACGAGAGAGTTGCAGCGCTCCGCTTATGAGCACCGACGTCGCCCTCTTGCTTGGGTTACGCTTTCCAACTTTAACTGATGTGTCCAAATCCCCAACTAGGTAGGACGTACTTCTATCGTTCAGTTGGTTATTGATATTAACAAGAGTACTGACAGCGACACTGACAAAACGCAAAAGATAGCTTACAGGGAGCGAATGTTCCAAAGCACAGGTCTGTATCGGATCGGCGATCTGACCGAGTGCATATGGAGATCAGAAGTGATTGCGCCGTACGACGGGATCCCGCAACGGTTCCCGAGCGGTTGCGTGTTCGATTTTCATTTGCTTCTCTGACCGAGTGAACGTGATTGCCCACGTTGGCCTCGTCAGCCTCACTTCGAAGTGCGTCAGCCCAGACTCATGCCCGAGCCGGCACGCCGTGTAGTCCTGTGCCTGAAGACCGGTACCGTAGTGTTCCACGGTGAGTTGCGGCAGACTCAGTCCACTCTAAATAAATCATGACAGACGTGACGGGCCAGTGCCGGTTCCACAGGCTTGACAGCGCAACACGCTTGTCTGACCGAAGCCCATAGGGTTGGATTGGCAGCTAGCTAGATAAAGTATAGCCTGCGGCAAACCTGCCGCAGAGCAAGCGCAGAGCTAGCTGGCACTGCATCATTCAATGACATTCATTGGTGCATGGCATATCGGATCTATTGGAACGTCGGATACCGTAGTAAGCGCCACTGCCAAGGAACACCAGCTCGTCGGATCAATTATAGCATCCATGATTCCATGCGCTGAGTCTTACATGGGTGATGACTCACAAACAGTCATATGCAAGCATCCGCTTATTGCGCAACAGTACGGCACAAATATCATGTGGGATATTGGATATCGATGTAAGGTCAAATGCACGCATTGGCCTAGCTCCTACAATTCTTAGTACCAGCCCTGTACATGCACATTTTCATCATAGGCATACAGACAAATGTGTAACTTAGATTAAAGCAACGAAAGTATAGAAACTCCTATAAGTCTCAGAATATACAAATCCAATCATCATGCAACATCTTCTGGAAAAATGCGGAACGGTGGATTGGACGGTTGCATGTCGGCAATGCATTCAAGATTGCCACGATATCAAGACATCAAGCATGAAGTTGCTCTCATGATGCGCCCGTGGTCACTCCCAATCGGGTTGGGATCTGGCGAGACATAGTCGACTCTGCTTTTGAGCGGCTCATACTTCGGATTGACTCCAAACTTATACTTAATACTTACACTTTGACCGTTGCCAACTTTTGCTTCTTGGCTGCGCCGCGGTCCACATATCGGTGCAGTTTGAGATTCCATGCACGCAGCATCAACTGTCTACCCTAGTCGCTTGCTGCGCCGACAAACTTGCGCGCATGAAACATGACACCCATAAGAAGCTTATCAACATGCGCAATCAAATACGCGCGACTATAGGCCACGCATTCACCTTGTCCTCTATGCTTTACCTCAACCAGCCTCCGTGACTTTTTCTATTCTTGCACGAATCATGTCGATTCAAATAATCATTGTATCCGTCGGCTTGAAGGTAGTCGACACTAAAGTTCTGCCGTTGCAGAACTCTGAAATGTTGAAGCTGGCACTCCTCTCCTGAAAAGCAAGGAAGTAAACAATCAATTACACACATAAAGCTGAAATTGAGAGATTGAACTCATCTTAACAGATTGATATGGTCGAGGAACGCACTTTTACTAGGACCCCGTAACTGCTAAGACAGAGCATCTGCAAGAGAGTTCTAATGCAAGGACATTCGTATCCATCGTCCGGAAAGGAGAGGAGAGCCTACCCATGAAACCAACTTATGCAAGGAGATCGCCTCAAACTTTGTTGCCTTGAATTGAATCGGGCTCACGCATCAGGCAGCACCCGAATAGTCTGCGTTTCCATTTCACTACGTTGTTTAGAATTGGATGGGTCGACGATGACTACGGATAACATTCCTTCCAGCGAAAGGCAACCAGTCCTACCACAACAAGAACCAACTTAGGAGGGTAAACACCGCCCCGCTTACTTTCAGGCTTTTAAGTACAGTCCTGAGTCTAACCGAAAAGAAATTGTTGCCGCTACTTCGTTATTAAGAATCTTCGAACTTTGCTGTCAGAATCGACAGCATGAAATCTGTTGGTTAGCTGACTTTTCTAAACGCTTCCTCTCGTAAAAACGTCCTATGCCACGTTGCCATTTCAAAAACAAATCAGGCTCAAACGAAAGGGGAACGACAAACAGCCTTTCTAGCCCCAACAACACTCTCAGCAAGAGTCCGGCTTCGCAAGCTTGTAAGCGGTCTTGGTTATAAATACAACTTTTCGTTTTTACTAATTAAAAACACGGGTATGGAATATTCTCAAGTGCGCGACGTATTAACAGATTGGTCTCTGCATGCGGTGCCATGTTGCTCGAGAAATCCGGCCATGACGTCTGATGAATGATGTCAGACCGACTCTGACAACGAAGTCAGCGCACAGGAATGGACACTGCGCGCATCGATCAGCAGTATAACACTCTGCATAACAAAACAAATCGCCGCTTCAAATAAGATACGGGAAGAGCGCTCTGGAAATCTGTCAGGGGCATTCGAGGGTCAAACTTGCAGACCCAGAAGGCGTTTAAAAGGACTCTCTACCAGCGTTCTGTCCTACGCTTAATCTCACTATGCCAAGATGCGGCAAGCTGCCCAAAACGGTATTATAGAAGGTGGCAAACGCCTAAGAAATCGAAGTACAGAATCGATCTTCCAGGATGAAGTTTGTCATTCAAACTTTTCGACGGTCTCAGGAAGCTTTCGGATTATGAGCTCAGCGGTGGCGCCCCCAGCCAATGAAACCAACAGATGGGGAACGACAGAAAGAGTTGTGCTTTTAAGGAGTCCCCAGGCGAAAATCCGAAAAGCAATTGTGTGGTCAAGCACAGTTGTCAGCTATCTTTGCTCTCAGTAACTCAAAGCTTCACGATTCTGCTGGGCTGAAACACATGACAACAGGCATTCTCTTTGTGATGGGACAGTGGTCCAACATACGAAGCCAAACAACGTCTTAAGTAGGTCAGGAGATAAAAAGCCCCTTCTCAGAAGATGCCTGCGGAGCACAGGCAAATAGTGATTGCTCAGATCCAGTATGCGCACCTGAAGCAAGGGAGTTGCCTGCGGCTTGATTATAACAGAGACCGCGCGTCTCTGTAGAAGCGAAGCAGGAGTGTGGCAACCTGAGAAATCTGAACCTTGTGATCTGCTATTTCAAGCTACCTTGTTCTTTTTTTAGAGTTTATACCTAAAGGCTATGCCAATTGGCTGCAATAACTGCTGACCACCGTCGTAACGAACTGATTGAAAGGCACCTTATGTGCCGCTTTGATCCGCCGCTTGCGTGATCAGCACAAGCACAAATGCTGCAATAAATGCCGCCAGCGATGGCAGCGCCACGAGCAGCAACGCCGGCCCGGCCGCCGGGTACCTGTTCTCCTGTAGCCTTATCTTCACCTGCGCATACCTGTATAAGCCGATGCTCACAAACCACATACCCAGGAAGACCATGCAAGACCCCAGGACTTTAGAGAAGACTGGGGTGTTGGTGTTCTGGATCGAGAAGCGCGCCAGCGCCACTCCCAAGGCTGAGACTGTGAGGCCTGTGCGCAGCCAGGCTAAGAAGGTGCGCTCATTTGCGAGGTGGTCTCGCGCGGTGGTACCTTCGTTTGGGTAGACGGAGCTGTCGAAGAAGGCCTTTGCAACCTTCTTAGGTTGCATGCTCGCTGCAGAAAACAGAGTCCTCAATACTGAGGGATGATGTGCGCACTGCCGAAGAGAGGTAGGAGGCCGGCCAGAAAGAATTTGGAAGACTTCTAAGTTCTGATTCTAGCTGTCCTGCCTCTACCTCCTGCCTGCCCACACCTTGCCTGCCGCGGGCGCCACCGCGCGCGGGCTAGCTAGCGCGATTCAGGGAGATGTTGTCCGACCATCTTGCCATTCTTGGCCCGTGACCTCAACCTTTTCGAATGGTGTCGTCGAAAGTACAAAATAAAGGGATTAGAACCGGCCGGCATCAAAAGCGGGTCCAATTCCGAATACGTGTCTTACCCCTCGGTCTGGCAATGAACCGTCTTGCCGCCCGTCCGGTTCTGCAATGCCCGGAAGTTCGACGGCGTGTCTACGTATTGAACACGGAGAAACCTTTGCCAATTTGGCGCCATTTGGCGCGAACTTGGTGTCCGACGGCGAGAGCAGCTAGAGGGCCAGAATTTGAAGGTCTCTTGAATTGGCATTCTTGAATCTTGGCTTCTCTAGCTTGAAGAGTCTCACACCAGAGCAGGCAATCTGTTTCATGCAAATTTTGCGTGTGCACGCTGCGCGTCTGCTATTCTGCATCAAAGTCCACCCCTGGCTAGCTACCCTTGTGAAGCTCCTCTTTGCTTGAGGCGATTGAAGGGATTGCAAGATCTACTCGTGAGCACACGTTCAGTGGATCAGTGTTCATCCACTAGAGCTATCGTTCAGCAGCACGAGTGCAGCAAATTGCCATTTTGCTTTCCAAGCCAAAGCGATTGCTATCTATATACTGCTATACCGCAGGTCCAGCTCAACCGCACCAGCCTGCTGACCCCTTGGCTCCAGCAGTCAGGTCACATTCTGGTGAATAGATTAGGAATGCATCACCTCTCACAAATCTAGTTCGAAGTTCTCTGATCAGGCATCGACGGACCGTGACGATTACAAGGTGCACACCTCACCCGTTTTTATCTCCACTGAACTACTTGATCCAGCCCCTCCAGAGCCGCCCGGGGCAGAGACAGATTCTGATGAAGATTCCGCCCTGTGCCAACTAGTTCAGCCGCTTCAGGTGTGTCCGCTGGAGAGCCAGCGCAACCCCCTCACGAAGTACTCCAGAGAGTCAGCTTTCACTTCCGTCTCTTTGTGCATCAACACTCTCCGAGTTCCATAAACTACTGGCTCGCACACTCTTGCCCCCAGCTTGTAGGTTTCCACAACATAGACATTCAGGTCTCTGACGCTGGCCTCGATGAAAGCCAGACCGGCAGACACTGGGAGGTGGGAATCTACAATGACGACTGCCGGTATCTGGACGCTTCTGATGGGGGCCCGGACTTTACGGCCCCCGTTCTACAAGATGTGAAGGCCTGCCCAGCCACACTGCAGAAAAGCGGAGACTTTGCGTACAATTCTCAAAACATGACGCCGCTGTCTGCCAAGATCAGCCCATACAGTGAGGACTGGGAGTCGCCAACAGAATACTTCGGGGTTGTTAAGGACAGTAAGTACACGGTGATTGGGGTCACTCTGAGCACTGAACGGAGGGTCTCCAAGAGGGAGTGGGGGGCGCTGCAATGTGAAAGGGCGCCAGCACCAAAGAGTGCACTGTTGAAGTCAGCAGCTCGAACAGGGGACATCATTCTTGTCGGTGGGGTGAGTTCTCGTGTGCAGTCTTATCCTTGTCCTTATCTTAGTACTTCTGAAATGATTTGTGATTGTATTTACAATGCAGATTTGTAATGAAGTACGTGACAGAGCCTGCATCTAGTGACGAATAGGGGCAAAATTCCAATTTCTGCTCTGGGCTAGAGGGTGAAGAGTCGTCTCACTGGGATCTAACCAGCCAAGTCGTTTTTTCATAATCTTCCAGGACCCTGATTCATAAGAATATCCCATTTTTTTATGTCATGCTTCTCCCTCTCACTATAGCCTGCACTTGTGGGCCGAAACGTGTGGACCCTTGGCCTTGTTTGTCTGCTTGTTGTTAGTTCAAGAGGCCTGTACTCCGCAAGCTCTGGGTTACTCAGTCTTCCAGGCCACCACTGTCTTGTCACCTTTCCCAAACCGGAGACGACCGTTTGAAAGAAGGAGCGCATGGCGATAACCATGGGGCATCGTCAAAAACGATTCGCAGAGCAGGACTGAATGTTTTGGCCAGTGCCTTGCAGTCCCTCTTGCAGAATGATGACGAAGTTGCTCCCACTTTCCCTCTCATATCTGTCTTCTGAAGATATTCGAATATAGGATCTGAAAATCAGCTGCTCAATGCAGCTCTTTCCTTTACTCCATGTCTGAGAAGCTCATCTGCTGCCACCTCTGGTTGGCGTGTCCACCTGCGGTTTGAAGCTAAGAAGAAGCCGAGTCCAACACAATCCAAAATCATGACTGCATCTGTGATCCAGACTGAGCTACGATTTTGAAAGCATGGGGCGGCCTTTGCTCCTTCGTCAGAGCCACATCACAAGTTGCAACAGGTTGCTGGATTTTTTTCCCACCGCATGATACACAACTCCTGACTCACCCGATGGCTGCAGATCTCTAAAGAAGCGTCAACTTTGGTAGGAGAGGAGTCCAAAACACATGTGAACTGCTTCTCCGTCTCCCCGACCACTAATTGGTGCCACTGCAGGAGAAGGTGAAGGCCGCCGTGCACCTTGCCGTTCTGGTCTATGCGCCCTATTTCGAGGTTAAATTGCGGGAGAAGTACTCAGGACAACAGACTCAAAATTTGCGCACCAAGGGACGCCTTCGTTTGCCATGTGACGTCAGCAAAGAGCGCATGTCTCTGCTTGCAGGAGGGAGTGGAAGTCGCCGCGCACTCCGCCGTCCTGGTCGACGTGCCCGACACCGAAGTCAAAACCGAACGAGGAGAGGTCCTTCACAAATGTAACAAGCTGCGCCTTTGTCTACAAAGTGACGTCAGCAAACAAAGCATACTTCTGCTTGCAACAGGGCGTGGAGGCTGCAGCGCACTACGCACTACTGCTCGACGTGCCTTACTTCGGAGCATAAATGTGCGAAATGTAATCGGGGACAACAGCCCTAACCTTGCACAACAAGCCACACCCGCGCCTGCCAAAGTGACGTCAGCTAAGAAAGTATGTCTCTGCTTGCAGGATAGCGTCCAGGCCGCCGCGCTCACCACCTTCCTGGTCGATGTGCCCTACTTCGAGTCGAACTTGCGGGAAAAGTAATCAGGGACCAGAGCCTTATATTCTGCGTATCAAGGCACGCCTTCGTTTGCTATGTGACGTCAACATTGAAAGTATACTTTCGCTTGCAGGAGGGCGTGGAAGCCCCCGCGCACTCCGCCGTTCTGGTCGACGTGCCTTCCTTCGAAGCCAAGTTGCGGGATGCATTGTTGGGGACCACCGCCCGAAAGTTGCATCACAAGCTGCACCTTTGTCGGCCATGTGACGTCAGCAATGAAATCATGTCTCTGCTTTCAGGAGGGGGTGGAAGTTGCCACGCACTCTGCTGTCCTGGAAAACGTGCCCTACTTCGAAGCAAAGTTACAGAAGGAGTGGCCTTAACAAATGCATCAAGCTGCGCCTCTGGCTACCATCTGATGTCAGCTAAGAACGTACATTTTTTGCTTGCAGGAGGGAGTGGAAGCCGCCGCGCACTCCGCTGTTTTGGTCGACGTGCCCTACTTCGAAGCGAAACTGAGGGAAGAGTGGTCGGGGACCACCGGGTGGAATCTGCACAACAAGCTGCGCCTGCGCTTGCCGTGCGCCGTCGACCAGAAAACCCTCAAGCTCTTCCTGCGGTGCATATACGGGGACGTCAAGCCGCTGTACAAGGTCGAGCCGACCAGCCTTTTGCTCCAGGTACGTCCTCGATCTAGTTTTTCTTTCACCAGGTATGTTGTCAGTCTGCTTAAACGAAAGTGTTGTCAAACTGGAACCAGGAAGCTTTTTCGTGTCGCAAGCACTTCTGATTGAAACTTTGAATTTGACTGGTTTCACTTGTTGGGTTCCGTCAGTCTCTGATGACAAGAAAGAGCGAGGGTCGCGGGGTGCCTGGCCGACTGGTATCTTTTGGTGCTTCACCGCCCTGCAAGGTTAAGGTTGCTGCCTGGTAAAGAGCAGTTTGGTGCTCGGTTGAGAGCGATGAGAAAGGCCCTGGCAAAGTCGCCATCTACAGATGCCTTGAAGATTCTGTCACGATTGCTAATCGATTCTCCAGAGGCGCGCTTTTGATTCATACAAGGAAAGGACATGCTTCAGGACCCGAAATCGACCGGAACAAGGATTACACTAAGCAATTGTCAGCGTCATTTTGGGCCAAAAACCAGCGGGATATTATTTTGATGTACTGTGATTATCTGGGTCCTACTCCAAAGTACCTTTCCGTGCATGCCGTGGCTGGCAGTCCGTCCGAGGAACAGACCTTCGAACCACTGCTTTGAGGGGAAATAGTAACTTGTCTTGAGATCAAGTTTGTGTCTGAGGATCTCTCGCGAAGCCAACAAAGTGTCGCCTCATGATCTGTCCGTTCTCGTTCTCACCTCTGCTCGACTGGTCCTGTACTAATGGCTGCTCTCCTTATTTCGAAAGACTTTATTTCTGTGTCCGAGACTGCCGTTTGTGAGTCGTTAAACGAGCTTGCCCGAACTGGCAGGATCTCCTCTTGCTCGCAGACACCTGCAACATTCCCGGTGTCTACGTGACGTCATCCTTGTATTAGACTTCCATTCAAGGATTCAAAGTATCCATACTCTTCTTCCTGCCGTGCTTATAGCGACCTCGAACCTCGTCTCGCCCTAGCTCTTTCACTAAACCAGCATGCCCCACTGACAGGAGGTGCTTGCGCTCGCGGACGCCTGCAACATACCCGACGTGTGCGCTGACGTAATCCGCGTGGTGGAGGTGACGTCAGAGAACGTCAACTCGTGGCTAGAGTGGCTGCTGAAGGAGCACGGGGCGGACGCCGAGCCCATTCAGCAGCAGGTGGTAAAGGTGAGAACAAGTTTCGGTGAGGGGTTTGGCGATAAACAAACCGGGTTTGGCGATAACCAGAGCCGATCCTCGTTAAGAAGACTTTCCGCGCTGATTTTGGGTGGACTGCGAAACGTGACACGCAGGAATATGGATAAGTTCCAGCGTCGTAGAGAGAGCAACTATCGTGTTGTGGGATCGGAGACGTCACTCGGCATGGTGTATGACGTGGCAGGAGCTGGTGCGCGGCAGAATGACGAAAATACTGCTCTGTTCTCGCTCTCTCCGCACGGCACGTTTCAGCAATTCCTCTTCCAACCGTCTTGCTGTGTGGCGACACATCTCGGGACTGGAGATCGACTTTCCCTGCTTCAGCCAGGTTGTGGCATTTGCGCAGCCTCAGTGGTGCGCTTCGTAAGCCTTTGAAACAGACCTAGGAAGGAGACGTTCTCTAGTGTTCATCTGCTTCCAATGATCTAAAACTGCTTGACTGTTTGTGGAGTCGTCGGGAGAAAGAAGGCTGCGGCAGCAAGCATCTTCCGTGAGCTCCGGGGAAGTCCACGTTCGGGAAGGATGCGGGGTCAAACCTGAGAAAACTTGCAGAGGACGGATCCGGATAAAGGTTTTTGTAGGAGTCCTCTCCAACTACTGTGGCCCCATAGTCTGTACAGGAGTAACAGCATCGTGTCTCGCCCTCTTACCAGGATTCTGAGAACGTCAACTCTTCTCTTCCAACGGTCCTTTTTGTGTTTACTCCCACATTTTGTGCCTTAAGGATTCATGAGACTTGCGGGATGCGCACATTGCTTGACGGGCGACTAACGAGGGCTCTCCTACCGCTTCGCTATTTGCAGGTCATGCGAGACCAGTTACAAAGCGCATTGGAACGGCAGAAGCTCACGGTAGAGCAGCTTGCCGCTATGTCGAGGTTCTTGGCCGGAAGTGACTCCTTACAAGTTGCTCCATAGTCAAAGATTGTCGGGCGAGATGTTGAATGAATTGGAGCTGACCCGGGAAAGTTGGCCGCGGTCGAGCTTATTATGGAGTGTACCCAGTATGCTAGATTAGAATCGTTTGCAACTCCAAACCTGTGAGTCCGAGATCAGCAGATTCTACAGTTGCTCTAAGCCTGGAGCAGCGACTTGTGTAAGCAAGCAAATCAAAGGTGACGCTCGGCGGCTGCTCAGGCCACGACGCCTGGCCATGGCAGACGTGGCAGGCACTGGCAGCTTGCTATGTGGTACGGCCTTGAGTGCGTTTTGTCTGCATGCTTATGGAACCTTTGTAGTCACGCATACGCGTAGGCGGCTCACTTGCAGGCACAATTCGGGCTGAGTGTCACGAATTTGTCCCATGTACGCTGGCGCTCTAGAACATGGTGCTGATGACATGGTTACGTGAATGAGTACGCATTCATTGAATGATTGAATGGTGTTCATTCCACTTGGAGATTTATGCATATGGCCGCGCACAAGTGTACGGCCCGAGCATGATCTCGGAAGCACTGAGGGTTCAGGCTGCCCCAGTGCATGCCAAAACCGGCCGGGCCCTGCGCCAGCTCGCGTGGCACCTATCAAAACTGGCTAATAGCATACATGCCGGGAATCGGATATAGTATAGCTATAGATTCGACAAACCTAGCTAGACCCATGAGGAGTCGTCTCGGACGTGATTGGACGGTCGACTGCTCATGCATGCAGTCGGCTGCACGTTTTGTGTCCATAGTACAATAAATAGAAAAGCGTCAACGCAACCGGCCGGGTTGTCGTTGAAAGTGCCATGACGGTACGGTGGCCATGCAATGTGCTAAAGATTATCGGTTCTGAAGAGGGCAGATATTGCCAGCCAAGGAGTTTTCTTTGAAATTCAATACTCTAGATCCATAAAGTATGCCGGCCGACTAACGCAGCTTGGCTCTGGCTCTTCTTATCGGTCGACGATATCCTCAGATGGTGCGGAAGACCAGGCCGCCTGCAATGATGGGTGTTCTGCAAGATCTGGCAACTATTTGAAATTGAATGTCGATCACATATCCTATTTTTTTGATAACGTTCGCAAGAGCTTACTCTCGGAGGGACTGTAGCATGTTAGGACGTTGTTCCTGCAGGAAGTGTAGACGTACTAAATTTCAACCCACTAAGCTGTCCTAGCATGTACCCTATTCCGAGCCTGGAGAACTAACGCTTGTATCTCGTCTTTCACGCGCTGGTCGAGCAGACGCCTGGCCGCTTTCACAGGGCGGATTCCCGTTTCCCCGGAGGTCGGGGAACCTCCGGGCAGCACCCCGGGGAGCGCGTTCCCCGGCCATTTGCCCGGACTTGGGCCATGTCCGGAATAGTTGTCAGGTCCCCGGGGTTTGCCCGGCCATCGGGCAATAAGTCCGGGCAATCAACCCCGGGCAACAAGGTCGGGCAACAGCAAACACATGTCCGGGCAACAACAGTGCAGTGCAACCCCGGGCAAACAGCGGGGAATGATAGGGGAAAGAGAACGGCAATTATTCATGCATTTAACGCAACTGGCTCACAGCCTGTCTGAGAAAAGGTCAATAAAGAGGACGTTACAGTCAGTCTGGTTGCTTCTAGGTAGCGATCAAGCAACACGCTCGGACTGTAGCAGCCAAGCTTTGATGTTTCTCAGCTAAGAAGTGTTTCCCGACGAAAGCGGTAGTCTTAGCGAAGCCTCTCTGACTTGAAGTACACTGCACAACTCCAAACCGTGGACTACATTCTAAGAAAGGTTCCAGTCCCGTTCCAGTGCCAGTCTGTTTTTCAACTCTAACAAACCCGGCTCGATTGCAAGTTATTGATCTACCAGCTGCCAGGCAAAGCTCCCGAGCCTTGCGGCCCCGTTCCTCGTCACCATGCCCTGATTGCTTGTCTTCTGCACAAGCGAAGAGAACTGCCTCAGATTATGTAGTGAATTTATGCACGCAAACACGATCCTGAAAGTTGTTGCGGGGGAACGCGTCTTGGCGGTTTCAAAAGTAAGCTGTCGTCGAAGAAGCGATTCAAAGTCTCACGTAATCAAACAGCTTGGAATAGAACGAGATTTCTTCCTCAAAAAGCGTGGGCTATCAAATTACATTTTTCCGATTATTCTCACTTCAATAATGATCCGATGTGTTCCGTTTCTTGCCGATGACTCAAAAACGGGAAGCTTTAGCGAACAGTATGAATGCAGACTGCAAGTTCTGCAAATCGAATTCAGCTTAACTGACTAGATTCTCTTCAGAGCTGCGCTCTTACTACGCACCTTCCTGCGGAAGAGGATTCAACGACTTGTCAGTTCGCGTTCCGTTTGGGTGCAATTGGGCATGATTGTTTCTGGCATTCGAGCGCCGCAGAGCTTCCGACGATGCAACTTGCTTTGCACGTCGTCTTGTATCCAAGAGTTTCGGAAGCGCAGCAAAAATCATACGCGTTTCGAGTTCATCGCTATGAAGGCCTGGTTCAGCGACAGTTCATTACGCCCGATCGAACCTTTGATGGATCGAGATACAAAGCACGTCGCGACGTACTTGAGATGAGATTGAATGATTAAAGAGAGGCGCCGCCTTAGACTGCTCACCTGGACTTTACAGGAATAACTGAACTTTCTGTATGTCATCAGCCTGAAAGGAGATGTACGTAACCGTGTCAGTCACACAACGTATAAGCTAGAAAAATTCACATCAGCTTTGAAGGAGTCTCGGGACCTTGCATTCAAGCCAGTCACAGACTGTTTGACTCTGACCAGCAGCATGACCAGCAAGCAGCTGCTTTCACGCGCCAATTCCGTTCAAAGACAGCTCACGTCGCAGATTCCGGACGAAGTGTTCTTTAGAAAGAGGCTGAGCCTGCTCACCTCAACTATGCAGACGTGAAAGAAACTTCATTTGTTGACCCGAAAGCAGAAAATAGTGTCAGACGTACGTAGGCCGCGAGCGCAAGCATGCGTCTGCGCGATGAACGCCGGCCTCTTCGATATAAGGCGCGCCAACTATCGCGCGACATAACTTCTTACCAAAGCCGATCTGCGCTTGTTTGGAGGCGAAAAACTTCTGCGCCGAAACTGACGGCCGCTCTGATCTGCTCATGGTGCTTCGGTTCAGCGCACTAAACCCTAAAAACCCGTAGTACAGTTTTTCGAATCCCTGATACTCAAAACCCTTGACGCCCTGACGCCTGGCATTCCAACCAGTCTTGTCGGTGCCCCGTTCAAGCACCGCTCTCCCTCTAAGCCAGCCGTCGTTCTTGCAGATTTCAAACCGATTTCTTTAACCGCGCCCACTCCGACATCCACGATGCCAGTCGTGCAGGGAGAAGAGCTTCAAGTTCCTGAAAGGCGGTCACTTAACCCGCGCCCGCTAAACCCGCCTATTCTGATGATTATGATGCTTCCAAAGTCCGATTCCTATTAAAACACCGCCCTTTCCAACATTCACAATTCTTGTCCAGTAGGGCGGAAAGCTCCAATTTTCTGAACCCAGATCCTTAGCATCGCCCAGTCCGACAATCACGGTCGCTGTCCTGCAGGGAATCCTGAAACCCCATAGTCTTGAACCCCGATCCCTAAATCCTAACTTAAATTTCGAACCCAACCATTTCAAACCCCGTTTTCCAAATCCCGCCCACGTTTACATTCTCTCTGAAAGCTTCGACCCCGATCGGTGGCTCCCAGGAGGTGAAGCCAAGCCACCGAAACACAACGAGGCGTACTGGCCATACGGTACCGGGCCGCGGGTGCATGCGCATTGGCAAAGGGTTTGCGATGATCAAAAGCAATCTGCTTAGCAAAACCCGAGCAGTTTCTTAACGCTGGAATCGGCTACAGCCGCTTCCGAGCATCCTGCCAGTCTCAGTTACAGAGGAGCGTTTCAGTTGCTTCTCAGACTTTCGCCTGAATGCTGATCTTAAGATACCAACTCTTGTGCGGGCTCCGAACTCAGAAGCGTGCTTAAGACGATGTTTCTGCTTAGAGCCGATGCTCTGGACTCGTGGGGGCTCCGACCCACTTTGAAATACATTCAGAAAGCCCCTCAAGGTACTGTACAGATGCTTCGATTCTGTCCCTCGGTCGGAACCCTGTAGGCTCGGAGTGCTTAAGCAGTGCCCTTGGAGAAATTCTCAGATGCAGAGTATTTACCTAAGAGATGAAGACCTCGTTCGGGCTCAGCTTCGCCCCGTCGTCGCGCCACTTCTTGTTGGCGATGTAAACGCGGCTTTCTTCGATGGCGCCTTCGCTGAGCAGCTTGAGCAGGTACGGCAGATCGAAGTCCTCCAACTCTGGCGACTTCGAGATGTTGTCAAGCTTGAGGCTATTGATTGCCTTGATGACTTCCTTCCGAGAGACCTACGCGGAAAATGAAGGCAGGAGCGAAGCATTTAGAAAGTTGTGTATGCAGACAAAGGGCAATTCTGGTTTTGAAGTGAAAGCCCATCCAATGACTGCATTCGATCTGCTTCCGTGATTCCAGGCGAAGAGGCTCAGGCGGGGGGCTCTTTGCAGCTGATCCGGTCTGCTCCTTTGTGGTCTTTCTGAACCTCAATCCAAGTTACGAAACTTTGCCAGACGGCACGTCGCTGTCAAAGGCATGATCGAAGCTTGCGAACTCTTTCCAAACTCCATACAAGTCCGAGGAAGATTAACGGCCAGACTTCAAGAGGGCACGACGACCGGAGTTTCTCTCGGTGCGCGCGCGTGTCCGCGTGCTGCCGGTCAAGCACCTGCGGAAAACGGAACGGAACCGGAACGGAATACTACAGGAACGGACTGAAACGTGAAGGAAAACCCGAAAAGAAAAAGACCGCTCCTAGCAAGGGGGTTTCTCCCGGTGCACGCGCGCGCCCGCGTCTTGCTGGTCCTAATCCGGCGGAACGGAAGCGGAACGGAACCGGAACGGAAAGCTACCGGAACGACATTGAAGCGCCACGACCAGACTTCAAGGGCGCAAAACGGCGAGACTTCAACAGACAATAACGGTCAGATTTCAAGGGAGAATAGCAGCCAGACTTCAAGGGGGCACAACGACCATAGTCTCTCCCCGTGCGCGTGCGCGTGGCCGCGTGCTGCCGGCCAAGCCTCAGTGAAACGGAAAAAACGGAATCGGAACGGAAAGCTTTAGGAACAAACTCAAAAGGGAAGGGGATTCAAAAGGAAAAGACCGCTGCGCGCAAGGGGGGTTCTCTTGGTGCTCGCGCGTGTCCAAGAGAACTAGGATTGCAGTAAGCAGAGTGGTAACCAGGATGTTTCAGATCACAAACCGCAGCAAGCAAACTGCGGTTTTCTCTTGCAACGGAATTTTTAAATCAGACTTTCAGTTCGGATCTCAGCAAACATCATCGGCTTCTGTACTCAAATCTCAAAAGATTCGGTCACCCACACTCCATTTCCTGCGAGTTTTGGGTTGAACGATCTTTTTCCATTACAGAAAAGACAATCAAGTTTGAAGCAGTTTGGAAGCGGCTCTAGTCTCACCCTGTCGCACCAATTGCGTCATTGCCGAAACTAATCCTGGGAAAGAACGAAAGGACGAAGTTTCGCTCACTAGCTAGGGAACTCTCAATGAAGGCCCCACGCACCTTCACATCTTCCTTACCTGGTATATGTACTTCACGCGCAGGTACTTCATGGCGATTATCTCGTAGTTGAAGACCATATGTTTGTCGATCTTCTCGCCCTTGTCCTCAAATGTGCCCCCCATTGGCAGGTCGCAAACCGGGTCTTCGTCCGAATCCGGATCTGACGACTCGATGACGTCACCCGCAAGGTCCAGTTCCTCCTCGCTACATTCGGGGTCGCCCTTCTTTTGTCGCTGGGACTTTGGTCCGGCCGTTCCGTTTCTGCCCCGCTTTCTTCCATCTGCACCCTTCGCCCGTTTTTCCGCAGCTTCCCCCGCTTCCCCAGCAAGCCCAAACTCGCACTCGCAACCCAGTGCCTTGCAAAGTCTCGGTTCGTGGATCTTTCGCTGCTTCACAGCGTTCCGTTTTGGGCGCGCGGCGATTTCGTCTTCGTTTTTTCCGTTCCCGGCTCCGCTTTCTTCTTGGGGTTCGGTTGCGTTCTTTTCCGGGTCCTTCCTTTCAGCTTGCTCTAGGTGAAGTCCAGCCCCTTGATTTTTGTTTGTGGCCCCTTCTTCTTCCCCACTGGCTCCGCGGCTTTTCGTCTCGTCCTTTCTGCTATCAGCGTTCTCCCGTTCAATCTCCGAGTTCTTACCGTTCTGGTTTTCTTTGGGTTTGCTCGGCTTCGTACTTGGCCCGTCGCTCTTTGATTTTTTCTTTGAAGACTTGTCACCGCCTTTCCCTTTTCCGCTTCCGCTCTCTTCCGTCCGTTCCTCTCGAATCCGCTTCCCCTTTCCGCTTCCCTTCTCCTCGTTTCGTTCTTTTGGTACGTGCAGACTGCCCTTGGCGTCCCGCTGTGGCTGCTCCTCTAGGCCTTTGTTTGGCTCTGCTTGCTTTTCGGATTTGCTTTCCGGACTGCCAGACAAGCCTGAGGGGGGATGATCGGCGGCCGGAGTTGCTGTCGGCACTGCAGCTTCCCAGACAGGCGCCGAACCGCTCGCCTTGCTGGCGGGAGTGAACGAGGTTGCCTCCCGGCTCCCTCCAACCTGGAAACATAGACAAAACTAGCGTCAAGTTCAGTTGAGCGTGGGAAATAAGCAAACGGTTGGACTTTGCAAAGGCCAGGGTGCGTGCGTGCGCGTATGCTGCGCGCGATGTTACCTGCTATTGAGCTTGCTGATCAAAAGTTGTCTAACATTGTTGTCGCACCTAAAGGTGATTGGAAAAAGAAAGCGTTTGATAAGTGTTTGGAATCAGTCATCAAAGCGCGCAGCACACGAGGGACTTGGAACGAAACGGGTTCACAGAATACCCGGGTTAAACACCAGTTCAAGCCCTTCACATGCAAAACCGTTGTGCACAAGCAAACGCTGTTTTGGGAACGCTGCAGATAATCTATTCGTCAACGTCTGCCGTGCAACATCCAAAAGCAAGGGACTGAAAGTTGTCCTCTGAGATTCTATCCACCTTCAAAATGCGGCCCAGTCTGGCGCTAAAGCACGCGCGAAACAAGCTGAAATTGAATTAACCCAAAGTTCCACTCAGGAGGGCAGTCTGATGTGTTTACGCTCAATCAGATCTGGTGTGAAGACCTATCATGACCAATCAAATGATTCAGAAGCTCTTACCGGGGTTTTGGCTAGTGCCGGACGTTCAAGGGGTCTGTTATGAATGGAGCCACGAATTCGCTTGTCGAAGTTGGACCAAGCAGAAGTAAACCAAGAAGAAGTAGACGTGATTGCTTCATCTTTATCACGTAAAAAGTATGTCTATCAGTAAGGCATGACAAAGTGGCACCAACGCATTCTTCAAGCGGCATATCAAGAGTCGTCACGTTGATGAACCCTTTCGTTGCGGTTGGCTAGCCTGCTCCATTACAGTTACACTTTGAGTCAATAAGAAGGGCAGTCTTGTACAGATGCCGATCTTCAACTCAAATACTTGCATGCAAAATCTTCAAGCAGTCCAGATTCGAGACACCAGGCTCTCTTTTCAATCAGATCCCTAACTCCGAAAACACCAAAACCGAACACATTCAAATCCTTGAGCGATCAGCGACCACTTTGAGACTCTTCGCTTAGTCAAAGGATCCAGCGAAGGGCGCAAGAGTTTATCAAGCAGACTTCAATTCTTTTGTAGCCCCATATACTGGTTCACTGAGCCTGGTAAAAGTTGTGAAACTGTGGCAGTTTTTCCAGTAAGGGCCCGTAGACGTACCTTTGTCAATCCTGAGCTGGCAGCGTGTGCTTCGCAGAAGAAATTCTCCCCATCGTACTCCTTGACGCCGAAGAGGTCGTTCATCATCTTCTGGAGGCACAAGTTGTGAACCGGCTTCTGGCAAACGTGACACATATGGACTGGCCGACCGGTGTTTACCGAGCAGAAGCTCATGACGCAGCGGCTTTGAGCTGACTCTTCCACTTGTTCGTTCCCCTGCACATGAGGTGGCAAACGAGTTTGTCAAAAGCTTTGCACGATTCCTTACTACTATTGTCCAGGTTACGGCAATTGCTTTGCCAGGTAGTTTTGATTTCAAAGCGGGTCCTACTCCGAGTGGTGAAAGTACCGGGTTTAATCTGTTGCTCACTACGTGTTTGCTGCAACGAAGAGACATGTCACTCTTCCTGCAAGGCATTAGTAGTACCGCAAGATTTTCTCGATGCCGTACTGAAAGTGTGCTCTGATTCTTAAGACCATATATGGACCATATATGGATCTGGCTTTTTGCTCGATGAGCCGTTGCAGGTATCAAAAGATGCAATAATGATGAATCAGTAGACACTTTCCAGGGAAGAGGAGCAAGGTACCAGGAGCCTAATAGCATATGCCAAGATTGTTTGCTTGAGGCCCACGTTTGATCGCACCTGACCAATCGCTCCCTCTTCGCAAGAAGCCACCTGCATTCCCTCAGTCCGGTTGGACGCGGCTGAATCTCTGGATTTTGATGACTGATGTCGGACGCCTTCGTCTCCCATGTCGTTCTGCAATAAGAAAGAGTCTTGATATGATGTCCAAGGAACTGCAACTTGAAGTAACTGTACATCTAAGAGGACTTCCAAGTGAATGGTTGTTTTGACTCCGGAGCCTGGCTTGTCGAGTCTGCAAAGATTTGGACGGTATGCTACAAGCAATACGATACCAAGAACTCTAAGGACCATGCTTCTAGAAAGATGAAAGAACGCGAAACTGCTCATTGAAGCATTGCGGTACCTATTATAGATTACAAACCCGATTATGGAGATTTGGATGGACGAGACCGTACTTGATTTTGGGGCTGGGTGAACCTTGCAGTTGAGCCCTCGTCTGCTGGCTTGGTCTGGCCGCCGCTTGCTTGGGTTGTGGACATGTCCTCATCCGCTCTTCTGCTGCCATTTGCCTACAGAAAAGGGCACTCACTTACAATCAAAGGTGTGCAAATGATTGACCTGGGAAGTGCAACATCAATCAGCTCAGCTCAAAATCAGACACAAGAAGGTTGAGCAATGCCTCAGCAGCCTGAGTTATACCGCAAGCTCCACATCATCCAGTACTTGCATGAACGTCTGTCACGTGACCAATTGCCTCTTAGTACTGACAGGTGACCAGTCATGCTCAAACTTCACCGTACCTGCTTCTTTGAAGCTTTATACTTGGTAGCCTTCTTTGCCTGCTGTGCGGCGTATCGTTCAGGATGCAGTTTGACCTTCTTGAGCTGTTCCACAATCTGTGAAAAGGTTCTGTTGAAAGACTCTGCAAACAAAAGCGTATTTTATAACATCAGCAAGCTTACTCAAAGTATCTCCGGATAAATACGCCAGAGTGTTTCCTTTGGTGCTGAATTCTTGAAAAGATCTTGACTTCTTCTTTGACCTGTTTGCTGGTTGAAATGCACGCCAAGCTGCATCCAAACTTTTGTGTACCGACCGCAGCTTTTAGATTCAGCCTCACCAATGAGCTGTTTCAAAGTTCTAACCTAGTTCAATCTATTTCATATCACGAGCAGACCAGAAGCTGTTCAATTGATCTTAGCATTCTGTCATGTTACCTGCTGGGTGCATTTTCAGCAGAAACAAGGTCATGTTCGAGCAGATTTTCATTTGGTAGATGGCTAGATTCTGCTGAATCAACTCCTAGCCAGTGCTCAACAACAATTTTGTCAGGTAGCTAAATGGTCAGAAGCTTTGAAAAGTCAGAACATAACAGCATTCATCCAGAGCAGTCTCACCTGCAGGCCACTTGTAGGATCTGTCACCCTTGACCAAAAGCACCCCACCATCAGTATCGTCCATAGTTTCTTTGAAAAGTGACTCTCTCCATTCGACATCTTCTCTCCTCACTTTGAAGTTCATCCCTTTCAGCCTCTCATTTGTCAATCCATCTAGCGCATTTTCAATCCTGTCCTTTAGATCCTTGTACCATCTTCGCAGTGTGCGCACGGCAGGTTTTCCAATGATCTCCTCGTAGGCTCCACTGTGCACCATGTGAGAAAAGAGATCATCAGCCTGTATAACTCCACCAGCAGAAACCTTGTCATCCTTGCGTTGCTTCGAGTCTTCCTTGGCTGCCGGTTGTGCATTGACATCTTGTACTGTGGACTCCTCAACCTGTCCTTTCCCAACTGGTTCTCGAGATGCGCTACATGACTTCTCCTTTGATGATGCTCCAGCACCTTGCTCAGTGCTTTCCTGCCATTCAGCTTTCATCTGCTTCAAAATGGCAGAGTGACCAAGCTTAATTTTCACACCCGTTTCCAGCTCAACGATAGAATCAATTGCTTCATCTTTCAATGCCATGAATGCTTTGCCGGTCACGCAGCCATCGACCAGGTACGTGCTGTATTTGGATGTCCCTAACGCTTCAGCAATGACACCAGCCAATTCCTCTTCTGTTAATCTGGTCACATTTTCAAGCACGGAGTTGGCAGCCATAGTTGCCAAGAATTGGTCACGCCACTCTCAACTCGTCTGCATTTGAGCGAACCAAGCAGTTGCCAGATCTAGACGTCAAGGCTGGACCGTATGGTTATGGCGATTGGCGCGCTGTGTGCCTCTACCTCCTCAGCTATTTTGCAGCTCCATTTTTGCATCTATCAAAGCTGAGCTGATTCCATGCCAGAGCTGATCAACCAGCTCCACTGGCCGGGTACTGATTACTGCTCATACTCAGAGTGGTTCCCAGCAGATGATTAGGCCCGGAGTTTCCGGCCAGAGGTGCCCCTATCTTATCGACGGTTCGAAAAGGCAGTGAGAGGCAAATCGACGGACATCATACCAGGATTTCTGTGCGCGATCTCTAAAGTCCTGCAGACCCTAAATTCAAGATAGCAATTTGAGAGGGACAGGCTCCAAGGGGCAGAACTTCACCGAGACTTCACGTTTCAAAAGCACTTCGATCTGAAAGCTCGAAGTTGTCCAGCTAGGGCACTGCCAGTGGTTAGATCAAGGCAGCAGCAGGCGGCCAGACTCTGATCTGAAGCTTAAAGAACTCTCGAAGTTATGGAGATCGATCTCTGTACCCAGCTTGCAGAAAGGAGCTGGAGAGTATTCGTTTGTGTTATATGGTATGTTCCAGCCTGAGGGAGGTGGTGCAAAACAAAGGAGCCTATGGTTTCAAGCTTTTGGTGCACTCGGTCTGCTGCCTGTAAACGAATGCACAACAACCTCAGGACGTAAGCGCCTTTGAACATGCAGACAAGTTTGACAAGATTAAGAGACGTTGGAAGAGACCAAGCTTCAGTCCAGGTTGTGACTTCAAATTTGTGCAATTTGCTGCAAGTTGAAGAGCACTGAGGGAGGGTGACTCGAGGAAGGTAAGTTGAATTGACATCTTTTTTGACATTCATGTTTTTAACTGGATGTATGATGCCGTTTTTAGGTGCATTTCTAAGCTGGAAGTGCTGGCCAGGCAAAGTCTATGCAAAGGGTACTGTACATATGCATGGTATGCTCTGCTTAAAAGTCAGTGCTGTGTTGTGCAACGTCAATTGGATCCATCATCAGCATGACCACCTTAAATGAGACTAAGCTTCTGTGCTTTAAGACTGTAATATTGCCTCTTTCTTTGAACTTCTCAACCTTGTGGCCCCATGCATCTGCGACAACATTATTGCTTACGCATGGTCTCCTCCATCATGCAGCGTATCCAGACAGCCTCCTGTCAATGAGAACGGCCTTGAGCTTTGCACCTGCGTCTTTCAAGGCTGTGGCAAGAAGGACGGCCGGTTTATCCCGAGAACAACACGCTTGCATCAAGAGAAGAAAGACAGGGAAGTAATAGAGGCAGCAGAAGTAGTTCGCATCCCAGATGGCAACGGCGTTGAGATCAGAGAAGCAAACAATCAGCAACAGAATGCTGATCAGGCTCAGCCGGCCGGAGGTGCTGGTGGAAACGCTGTTTGGCAAGGGCTTGCAAACCTCCTGGACATTGATGACAATGAGGCGCCAGACTTGAATCCAACAGAAGCTGAGGAAGCAGATTCAATGGAGGATTCGCTGCTCTCAGGAACAGGAGGGAGGTTTCTTGACAAAGTTCTGGACTTAGTGAAAAAGGGCGACGAGGCTGGCTTTAGCAATGCCGACCTCGACTGGATCTTGAAGTGGGGTTTTGGTCAGAAGGACTCAATTGCAGAGGCACTGGATCCGGACTGGCGCGCCACAATGAAGGAGCTCAACGTTATGGATTCGCACGACCAGGTTAGCTTACATTTGTGCTTCGTAATTTCATTGTCACCTTCTTCGTTTGACTTTAGATTCTGAAAGGTACTTCTGAGGCTTAAAATTATAGTCTGCATGAGTCCAGGTATATAGCTTAGCTGAGTCTTTTGTCCCTGCTCAATCTTTGGAAAGAGTCATTGGCTCCAATTCACCTTTTAGTGCAAACAACTTGGTTGATTGCTTGAAGAACAGACTTTGCATGAAGCTAAGGGGCTTGGAATCATAATATTAATCTGCATGAGTCCAGGTATACAGGTCAGCTGAGTGCTTTGTTTCTTCTCAATCTTTGGAAAGAGTCATTGGCAAAACTTGTCTTGGGTTCACCTTTTAGCTTAAAATGTTTTAAACAAGATGTCTGGCTGATTGTTTGAATAGCAGACTTTGCAGTGAAGCAAGCGATTCACATTTTGTATGCAAAACCATTTCACTTCGGATCGTCATCGTTGGTTACAGTTAATCACTTCAAGCTCCGTCCCCCTTTTGCCAACAGGTGCAAAGTTTCCTCATGCGCGTGTCGCGCCTGCTCGGTGAGCCTCAGATGTGGCGGTTTCACGAAGGAGCCAACGGCAGCTGGCACCTTTTCAGACCGAGCGCGGAAGACGGAAACCTGCCCTGCCCCCACTGCCCCGAAGGGCCCAGCCGGCCAAAGTGGCGCGACTGCTCCGCGCATCAGGAGCGGAGCGAATGCGGCTTCCTCCGGCGGGACGCGCTAGAGCTGCCCTACATCGGGCTGGAGCCGTACGTGCGGGCGAAGCTGACAACCGAAGCCGGCTGCCAGGACATGCTCGGGGCTTGGCGAGAAAGAGACAGGTGGCTGAATCAGCCCCCCGACAGTGTCCCGGAGCCGCAGCTGGAATACTGGGACGGGAAGCGCTTCAGGGAGCGGTCTAGTTTCCTCGACCCCAACGGCACGTGGCTGCTCCCCCTCGCTTGCGCAAACTGCTGCCGTCCGCGCCCCGTGTACTGCTCTGAAAACCTAGAGCTTCCCTCCTACGTTCGTCCAACTCAAGCCATGTGGAATGCAACCACCGGAAGTTTTGAGACGGAGTGCCCCCTGTGCCGGCAGCCAATAAGCGCGAAGAGGGAGGAGCTGGAAATCTCGGGGGACCCAAGAAACGTGATCTTTGGTTGCCACGTAGATGGCTTTCCTTCCTCGCGCACGACAAACAAGAGCAGCTGCATCCTAGACGCAACCCCCCTGGTCGTCTCAAAACGGTTGCGCTACCGGGCCTGCGAAGGGTGGCTCTGGCCCCTTTGTTTTCCCCCGGAAGAGAAACTGAAAAGCGGGCCGGAAGCGTACGACCCGTTCATCCTCCTTCTGGTCCTAGATTCGGTTCGGCTTTTTGTAGAGGGGATCTTGGTAAACTACGCCCTAGATCCTGCAAAAGTGAGCCCCGACGTTCCCCCCCGACACGGACAGCCTGTGCGCATCCGGATGATAATGTCCTGCTTCTTCGCCGATCTGCCAGCCCTTGCTGACGTGGCGAAATTCAAAAGGGGGGGGTGGCACGTGTCGCGGCGGTGTCCGCAGCTGGCTGTCCGAAACGGAGATCGGTTGGTGTACGCGAATGGGCGGCGGCTTGTGCGTGATGGCTGCGGAAGCAAGAAGATGAAGGACGTGGTCGCGGCGATGCTGGAGCACCTGGGGGCAAGAACCAAAGCGGAGCGCGACGAGATCGGCGCGAGAACCGGGGTTGTTGGGTTCAGCATGCTGGCCATTCTGGGGGGCGTGTACAGCTTGGACCTGGTGCTGGACATGTGCGGGGACTGGCTGCACAAGGGCTCGGAGAACCAGGTGAAGCACCACGTAAGAGACACCCTGCTTCCGGTCACCAGAAAGGAAGGCGGCCTCCTGGTGCAAGAAGCCCCCCCCCGGATCAACATCAAGGATTTCGGAAAGCGGCTGCAGGCGATAAAGCCGACGCGCAAGCTTGCAGACGGCCGGTGGGTCAAGGACCCGGAAGAGCGCCCCCTCGGGTTCTGGAAAGCGGAGGAGCACGAGAAGGTCGCGCTCTACTGCCTGCCGACTGCGTACGCGGGGCTCATTGACGAGGAAGGGTATGCCATTACCCAGCTCGTCGCGTGCATTCAGCAAGCAGTATTCATTGTCGGATCGCGGGAAGGCTGGACGCCGCAAAAGCGAGCGGTGTTTGACCAGCTGTGCAGAGCCAAGTTTGCGCGCGCCGAGGAGTACTTCGGCTCCAAGCTCCGCCCCCTGGAGCACGAGACCTGCCTTCACACCCTTTCTGATATCCTGAACCACGGGCCTCCGGACAGCCTGTGGTGCTATCTGTGCGAAAGGCACATCCGCAAGCTCATCAACACCCCGAGCAACGGAAAGGAATACGAAAAGACGTTGTTCAAGCGGGCATTGAGTGCTTTGGTTGGCGGATGGCTGCAACAGCGGAGAAAGGAAGCGGCGCTGTGGCGGACGCGGCAGTTCGCGGGAGATGAGCTGTGGGCCGAGGCAAGGGAGGGGTTTGAGGGCGGGATTCTGTTCGCCTCTTCTCAGAAAAGGGCCGTCGCGTTTGTCGAGGGCCTTGAAAGGTGGCCCCCAAGCAACCGGCAGCCGTCGGACGTCGACCTGCTCAACAGCGTCCAAGCAAACGGGGTCGCCGTTGGGAGTGTGCCACGAACCTGGGGTTTCCGTACGTTCAAGACCCTCAAATCCCCCCAGCGAATCGGCGTAGAGAGGTGCCTAGCCCGCGCACCAAACGCAGCCGCAAGGGGCCTCCAGCTGGATCCGAAGACCGTAGTGAACCTGAAGAGCCTGCAAAGCGGGGAGCATAACTTTGCCCCAAAGGACTTCGTGGTCGTGCGGGGGGGTGCGCCGGGCGGGGAAGCGGCGGACGAGCAGTTCGGACGGCTGGAGAGCATCTTCTGTGTCGCGAATAGGCGAGGCGCGAGGCACGTGTTTCTGGATGTGAGATTCTTCCCGGTTCAGATGGAAGGAGGCGAGCCAGCGGGGGGGCAGTGGCACAATTGCCTCTTGCTCGGCACTTTGAAATCTCTGGCGGCAGACCGCGTGCGCCCGGCAAGCAGCCTGCTGCGCCACTTCATTCCGTTCGCCGAGCCAGGCGAGACCGTGTTCACGAGCGCCGCGAACCACGTCATCGAGGTCTGCCCCACCGGCTTCGGTTTTGCAGCGCACGACGTATGGGTCCCGGTCTTTCCCAGGGTAAGTTCGGCCGGCCTTGAATCTATTTTAACTGCCCGCATCGACGGAGTCGAAAATCTTCTCAAGGGTTGCCAGAACTGGAAGTAGAATAAGCAGCAAAGCGGTCGAACCAACGCGCAGACTCCTTGCTTTGTTTGCTTCACGAGTTGAGCTTGTAACGTTCGAAATCCGCAAACAGCCAGTCGGTGCGCGCGCACGTCGATTATGTTGACCCAGATCTCAGTCAACCAGCGCTTCAAACTGCAATGAGTCATTGCGCTTCAAGCCTCGTCTGTGATGAAGCCTCAAAATCCATTAACAAAAGGTTATAGCGCACTCAGTTCTACGCTCTGCAGCTGGATAGATTTGCCACGTCAGCGGGTAAGGCGCCGGGTTAGAGCGCGGTTAAGTATTGGTCAAGGCCGCGCTCGCCTCGACCCCTGATTCTACTGCGGTCTGCAGTTTTTAAACTCCCTTCCCTCCACGGACGCTCTATTACAGCACGCGAAGAGAAACGATTGGCGCGCTCAAGTTTTGACTCTCCTCTCTTCAACAGGTTGGCGACGTCGTCCGGCTGCCGGTGGTGGAGCCTCCGGACGTCGTCCCGGAAGGGGTAGCGGGCAAGTGGGGCTACGGAGTGCCCGTTTCTGTACTCAAGTCGGTGCGGCCGGGGCAGTCGGTGGCGTACGCTCTCGTCCGGCAAGTGAACGAGGACGGCAAGCTGGTGGACGTGCAATGGTTGAAGCGGGCTCCGGGCGAGAGGGCGCTTCCGGACGGCAGCAAAGCCGGCGTCTGGGGTTTGTGGCCGGTTAGCATGCGAAGAAACCGGAACGGCACTCTGGTCGAGGAGGTGGAGGGAGACTCTGCGAGCGACTCGGAAGAAGACGGGGAAAGAGGTCGGCGTCAAAGGGGCGGGGCAGCAAGGCCGCAAGGGGGGTTCGCCTTGAAGCGCGCGCCTTGGAACGCTCTCCTCGACCGTGTCGAGGGCGTTGTCAAAGCGGAGAGAGATGCAAACGGACGTGCTTTGGACGGAGGGCCACTTTTCAGTTTCAAAGAGCTCCCCCCGGTGCGGCGCAGATGAGCGGGGCTTAGAATAGTAAGGGTAGAAAGGTGGGGCCCTAAAAACGGAAGCACGGAGAGCGTGTCACTTGCATACAGAACCAGATTGATGTGGAATTGAGAAAGTGCATTGAGTACGGGCAGACAATCACCCGCTCATCTTTTCGTTTCTGGTGGATGGTTTGGACGGAACGGAATCCGAACGGCAGCAGAGTGGCTGGGAAAGCGGAAATTGGCGCCCGGTGGGGGCAGTCGGGCAGGTCACTGGTGGAAGCAAGGGTTCGGACAGCTCTCGAGCAGAGATTGGCACCTGGTAAGAGCAGCCGGGCACGCCCAGAGTGGAGTCGGGGTCGGCAAGGGGCGTCGGGCAGCCCCAAAACGGATCGGAGGCATCGAGGAGGGGACTTCGAAGAACTTTCCCCGGGTGCGGCGCATGATCAGGGGTATATCAGGTGCGTTCGACATTCGATCTCTATACTCTGTTAGATCAAGCGCAGTCATGATATGGCAAAGCTATCAAACTGCTTTTGCTTTGAGGTAGCAGATAAGGCGCACGCGCGAGTTCCCGGGCGATCCTGCTTTCTTCGCCCTTCTTCATGTGCTCAAGAGTTTCGCTTTGAACCTACTCGGAAAGCCTGGCAATCGTACGTTGCAAAGCTGGAAGATAAATCTCTTCAAGTTCGTGTTTCTTTTAAAGTTCCAGCTTGTCCCCGGATGATGGCGAACTTTCGGATGGTCCCTCGAAATTCTAATGGACAGACAATGTTTTGGTAGAGGGCTATCAATTGTGAAGTGCCGCCCGACGAGTGCCCATTTCAAAAAGAAAGCGAAGAATGTTTTCTTGCGGCTTGAGGTCAGGCGAATCCGTAATTTCATATGAACGGAGCTCCGTTGAGCTGGTCAAACGCTCTAACGGAGCGCGAACTAGCATGGCGGGAGAAAAATTCAAGGTTAAGGATTAACCCGAATCTCAGTTAGCTGACCAAATTTGCAGAACCCAGCAGGAAAAGGTACTTTGTGATCAGCTTAGCAAGGCGCATCCGAATCAGACCTAAAAGCTTATAGCACATGTACTTTCCGTAACCTGCGGAAGCTCAAGACCGCCACGTGTCCGGGTTAGGCCGGGTTATCGCGCGAAAATGCAATTCGATCGAAAATACCGTTTCAGCGCAGAGTTTAGAATAGACGTCTTGCCTGCTGATTTGCTTGCGCAGACTCGACGAGATTGCTGATGCGCCTGTTGTATGTTGCACGTTTCTTTCAACTTTTAACCAACTTCCGTGAACTTTCACTTAACTCTTCTAACCTACGCGTAGATTCTTAATGACTGGCGCCGCTCGAAGGCCCTCGAGGGGGATCCGATCCAATTCAAAGGAAGTTTTGCTGTTTCGGGTTTGCCGGTTGTTTCACTTTTCGACCTTCCGTAACCTTCCGTAACCTTCCGTAACCTCCGCGCAGATCCGGAACGAGTGGCGCTGGCCCGATGCCCTCGAGGGAGATCCCCCCGTCTGGCGCGCCACGTCAGAGGGACCCCGCTCGACCGCCAGTTCCGCTTTGTCTTTTACACGTGGCGCGCCGGACACACGGCGCCAGCCAGCATGCGGACAGAGGGGCGCTGACGTCAGCCCGTGTGGACAGGGCGGTGCTGGCGTCAGCCCGGACCAGGCCCCGCTATTGCTGCTTCAGCAGACAAGGCAGCAGTTGAGCACGGAAGAAGTTGCACGGTGAGAATTTTGGTGACGTGGCTGAACGGGTGCGGTTACTGGGTGGCATGGCCACCAATGAAACGGCAAAACCTGGTGCGGTCACCGGCTGTGAGAAAGGTCTCGGAAGCTGTGGTTTTTGAGAAAGCGCGCCGAGACACTTTGCACCTTCGTCTTGCTGTTTTGGGTGTTGGCTTTCAAGGGGTCTCGAGGTTGTCCCGTTGCTCGTTTGTCCTGCTCTCTAAGTTTTGGGTTTCGAAGGTTTGGAGGGGTGGAACGGATCAGTGCAATTTCTAGATGGGGCCATTGTTGCGTGGAACCTGCGGTTCAACATCAAGAAAGCTTGGCGGAGGCGCTGATATAAGTCGCGCGCTTTTTGGACGATGTGGCTTCATTTTGGCCAGACTACGGCACGCTTGTACGGAGTCTTTTGGCGATGTTTTGATATGGAAAGCGACTTACCTGCAAGATGTTTTCGAAGACGTCCGAGCGCCTTGCTAGAGGCTGAGGCCGCCTCATGGCTGAGAAGTATGTACAGTAAACCATCTTCATTGTGAAACCTCAAAAGCACGTGTTTAGTATGCTGGGGCTTTCAGCTGGGCTTGTGGCCGTCCGCTCGGAATGAAGGACTGTTCTGGTGTTCTAAAATGAGAAAGAGCAAAACTCAGTCGTCGAGGGAACTTTCAAAAGCCTTTCGAAGTCAAGCTCTTTCAAGTCGGAACTTGGACTACCAACCATGGGGGGAAGAGACATGATAATCAGTGACCAAGAGCGGGTGCGTACGTGGAGCTCGCGCAAAACGAGGTAAGGTCCTGCTGCAACTTGAAGATCATTTGCCTGCCTTCTGCTGCAGCTTGTCCACGGTTTCCCGATCGAATATTGTCGAACGCAGATCTATGTGCCGTTCGTACTGGCATCGGTCTCTTCTCAGTCTTACCGTATTCAGATATGTAAGTCACTAAGGATTTCTAGTTCTCCAGCATTCAATGGTTTTAGCAAAGACTTCTCTTCGAAGTGTATCTTTGGCAGTACATCTTTGCAACGGTTTTGATTGTGAGATGAGATAGACCACCATAAGCGTTGCAAGAAGAAGAATTGCCTACTAATTGATTCTGACCAACTGCTCCAGTTGATCTCGTTTGCTTCATCGCTAAGCTTTCGACGTCTGATTATGTTAGAACATGTTGATTTACACCATCTGCTACATGAATATCTCAATTCGATCCCTGATGACGAATCTCGACTTCGACTCCAGTGATTCGTCTCATCGGAGTTTTCAGTGAGAAATTGAAGTCGCCACCATCGTTTTCCAACCATTCACGATTCGAAACCAGGTTACACCTAGTTATTTCTATCCGGGGTGGCTCCGGGGTACATCTGGACCTTTCAATACACGATACATCTCAATTTCGTAAGACCTTTCGAAACAGGACACGTGTGAACTTTCTTAACCAGGGTGCATCAGCGGTAGATTCTAAGCAGGACCCCTGAAACAGGTTGTCGGTTCGATTTTGTCTCTGCATCCAAGTTCTGGTGTTGTCTTGCTACTACGTCTCCAGATGCGACAGTCGAGTCCGATGTTTTCATGTCGAACTGTGCCGCTCTTCGTTTTGGCCCAGCCCTGGTCAGGCTTACGTGGTTCTCTTGTTTGACATATGATAAAGCTTTTGAGTCGGAGCTCCAATTCGAAAATGGTAGACGGCCAGGCCAATCCAACATGAAAAAGAGTGGAGTCCGGGAATACAAGAAATACAAGAGAGGATAGTTGCGAATGCCTGACGGAAGAACCTGAACCGTACGTATCCACGCTTTGTGGATACATATGCAGATATCTGGAGTACAGAACAGCAGAGCGCTCAGTGAGCACATCAAATATAGCTAAAGTTGCTTCAAGCCCAGTCATGTGTGCTCTTCTGGAGTCATGTATTTCAGAAAATACTTTGTCTTCGGGACCAGTTTTGCCCGGACCCGATCGACTGGCCCGTTCATATCAGATACATACATACACACATGGCGTCTTTCTCATGCAGGATCAAGGGATGACTGGAGCTCGGAGCTGCATTGAGGCCGAAGCGGGGTCACACGAGGCGATGGATTGTTGCAGACATAGATATCAGGTTGCACCGGATCGAATCTTGTAGTGGAGAGGATATATGTATATCAGAGGTTACTTCGGATCAGGCTTGCAGAAACATTACAACTGCAACGAGACACAAGTTTTGGTACACATATATACTTATTTCGAAACTGTTTTCACAAGCCCGGCTGTCCGGGCTGTCAATCAAGACACTGCTGATTCGCTTTTCGAACACGCTGGAATCTGGAACGCGGCTAAGTAAACTCCTCCCCGGGGTTCCGTCCGCTGCCCGGACTTGCTTGCCCGGACTTGTTTCTTGTGTTCCCCGAGCATGCGCGTTCCCCGGTGTATCAGCTTTTGCCCGGACTTCGTTGCCCGGAGTTTGCCTTCGTATTCCCCGGACATGTCTGTTCCCCGGGCTTCCTTACCCCGGGCAGCAGCTCGGGGAGTCATTTCCCCGGCCTTATCTCCGGGGAACCCTTGCCCAGGGATCCTCCAACCCCGGGCAAATCATCCGCCAGCCCGTTGCCCGGCCTCAGGCCGGGGAAACCCCGGGCAGTAAGCCCGGGGAAACGGGAATCCGCCCTGTGTTTGTCCGCCTCCTCGACATTCGAGAAATACAGATAGCGAAGCGGCCCGTCGAGCTGAGGACCGGAAGGATCCACAACCACAGCGCCCTTATGCAAAAGCGGACAAGGCACTTCGTGACTTATGCGAAAGATCGACACCTCAAACCGAAGAATCGGCCGCGGCCCCTCCGCAAACGAAGCTGGAAAAGTGAGCACGACTGCCGCCCCTTCTTTCAGGTCCGTATCCGGCAAGTGCCGTACCCTCTCCTCCGGCAAAAGCGTTGGCGTATAAAACGCCGTTCCATCCTCTGGCGGCCACGTCTTGTGTCCAATTGCCTGGCACGAGATCGTGACGTACACCGGAAGACGTCCGTACGTTTGCAGGTGGAGCCGGACGCCCGTTTGGGTGACGTCAGAGATCCGGACCTCGAGGAACTCGAAGGGGCCCCAGGAAAAGGACCGGCTGACGTCAGAAATGAGGCACGCTGGCGTGTGCACCTGCATCTGCACTTTGCAAAGCGAGTCAGAAAAGAGGCCCGAGATGACGGGGCTGCCGCGTACGTAATATTAACCGGAGAGTCATCGTTTAGGTTATCTGATGTGCTTCCGATCCGGGACGGGAAAAGGTGACACGTTTTGAAGTACGCAGCTCGTGACACTGACCAGACGAAAGCTCGTGATTAGTCACAGCAGGACTACTATCACAGCAAGCACAATATAGACCTTCTCATGATTAACATAAATTTTGACCCGCGCACGTTTCAAGCCTTTCGTCAGCCTCGGGCCTTTTGATCCCTGTTGGAGGTTTGAAAAGGTGTCGGGTAATCTGCGTACTCGCCTTTTAAAAAACATCAATCTGACGTAGCTGGATTACGTCTTCATCAGAAAAGAACAGCAAGATTATGCCTCTCTTGCAATAGGTAAAGCATCAGTAAAACCGGCGTCCTTCCAGCAGCTACACCTTTGAACATTTTCATTGGAGGAAAGAACGTGCAGAATTCAGACCCTGGCTTAGTTGAGCAGGTTCAAGTTAACAGCTTCTTGCTGTAGAAGCCAGCGTAAAAGATGCTCTTAGAAGGTGACGGACAAACTTAGGGATTCCTGCGAACAAACCTGTCATTACTCATCTTCTGAATCGCCTGAAAGTTCACCCTCAAACAGCCGTAATCAAAGTTGTTTAATCTCTTCAGAACGTTTCCGTTTCCGGGACAACGGAGCTTGGCTCGGACCACGGCACGTCCAGATCACTAGCACAGGAACAGATCAGCATTAACCAAGTTTGAAGTTGGTTGCGTGCCCATCTACCAAGAGAACGCAATTTATGTCTGGTTCGATGCTCTTTCACCATTTGACAATAGGGGCAAAAGCTTCAACGTCTTGTGTGCAGATCAACCTTGCTTCATAATCGAGGATGCTCTTAAAATTTGAACAAAGCCTCTCACCTCACTCGAAGCGTTTTGTTCACCGTCCCCCATTTGCAATCCTGGCTCACAACAGCTCTCAGAACCCTCAGGTTCAGGATAATCATCATGAGAGTGCCGTGCCGGGGAAATCATGTAAATGGCGAAGTAGACACCCCGCATGTAACACCGGAGTGTGGCCGCCACATGCACGTCAAACGCCAGGATGTGGTCGCCGTAAAACTCCCTCAAGAACGCCAGACTATCCTTCCGAGCTCTTTCCAAACTGTTGTGCGTCAGTTGGCCGGAGATCACGGTTGGATTGCCCGCGTGCACTACTGTCGTGCCTCCATAATAGCTAAAGCCGACGTCAGCGACCAGGACGGTGACCAGCTGTTTCTGCAATTCCGGTGTCCATTCGGAGGCCGGAAGGGAAGATGTGAGCAGAAAGGTTACTTGGGGAGATGTTCCGAATGGATGGACCTCGAACGGGTCGACGTACTTCAGGCTGGTTGTGGGGCTTGTCGCCGGAAATTGAAATACGAACTCACTTGAGTGTAGGAAAGTCGCCATCGTTCTCAAATGTTGGCCAGGAAACAAAGCCAAAGCACCTGTCGCAGCCCCCAAACTAGTGGGTGTCAAGCTCAATGGACGGTGGACGGTCCCTATAATCAAAATCGGGCGTGATCGACTTGATCGAAAGACAGCGGCTAGCGGCAGGCGCCCGCAACCGCGCGGCCGCCGGTCGGACTCGGTTTCGGGTGCGGCCGCGTGCCCGCGCGGCGCGATAATGGCCCGTCCAGGTGGGCCACTCCCCGCCGGGTTCCAACCCTTTCGAAGCTGCTACCGTCGAACTAGTCAGGGTTGACGACTCTTCAAACCATTGGAACCCGGCAAATTTGCCGGCCGTCGATGCAGCTATACGACTGATTAATACGGCAACCCTGTAGCAACGCCTGACAGGCCAAGCTTTGAACCGGTTTTGCCGCTCAAGCCCTCGCCGGTGGCGACGAGAGCGCTTTTCGGGGCCCGGGGTCAGCTAGCCAGGGCCTCTGCACAGCTCGACTTTTCGCGGCAAGAAGGGTCGCGAGGGAGACGATTGAAGGGGGAAGAATCCTTCATGCAAGGCTTGCTTTGTGCATGCCCCTGGCATATAATCAAAGGCATTGTGGAACAGAATTAATGGGTTTGCTTTTCGATCGATCGTCCGATGAAGACGCGCAAGCTATAATGACCTTCTTCCGACCATCTTGTGGCCTACTTGAGCTGCCACGTCGGTACAGAAGCCGCCGCTTTTCGAAAGCACAAAGATCGACGGTGGGGTTGCCAACAGAACTTTCAATTAAAGTTTGGTGGCCTCGGGCACTTGGTGCAGTGCACGAGTTCAATGTTTTTTGAAAGCGCTAGGTTTTCTTATATGTATAAGCATCGGGCAGAAGCGCTTGTTAACGGCTCCGGCGAGGCCGCCTCAAACACGATACGCGCCGGGATGCATGGTTGAGTTGAAGAATGACAGAAGACTGATTCTTGCCAAGAACACCTTGCATGTATCAATGAACGGGGTTCAAGCAGTCGCGTGGCGGCGCGCGTGAGTTATTTCAAGTTTGGATTTTCTATCTGGCGCGCACCGCGTGGTGCATGCTGTTGCACTGCACAGTGGCCATGATGCACTTCGATCGAGTCCACTCAGTTGAATCTGATCGCGATCATCATGTATGCTCGGAGCCGCCACGACTGGAAGTGGCGGAACGTAAACATATCAACCATCGCATGAAGATGTCAGCCATGGTGGGTCCGGGGACTAGCTTCGTTTCAATGTAATGTTTAAACGACGGGCGCCATATAGATGGTTGCAATAATGTCTCTTGCCAGCCGCAGGCTAGCATTCAACGGGAATGGTTCAGATAATGCCGACTTGCTTGGCGCACGCATCTCTGAACACCTCGTATATATGCAATACAGGCACACGAAGATCCAACATGCGGTTGACCTGTTCCTGACGTCGTTAGCAATGTATATGCATGCCAACCACTTATTCTGATTTCTGATTGTAGTGGACAACTCAGAAACAGCTTCCGCTCAAAATAATCGGCCTCAATATTCCGACAGTACCTTGGCTACAATGGAATCAAGAAGCAATTTGAGGCATTGTCCGTCGGGGCAGCACCCTCGAAATGGTGGCGAGCTGTTCGACTGAGAGCGGGTCCTGTTGCAAGGCATCCCGAAGTTGGGCTCGCATGACCTGCAGCCAGGCAAAGACGCTCTTCAGACATAATTCGCATAACACTGCAAGAACGAGATGATTAATCTGAACTTACTGAAACCCCAAATCGCTCGGACTGCTTTCAATTGTCAGCACGTGACCGGCAGACACTAAGCACCGACTAAGACATGCAGAAGCCTGCTTCAGACCTTAGTGGACGATGTTTTGGATGGGGACTGATCATTACACCAGGCGGTGTGCGCAGCGATGAATCTTTCAAGAATCAGTGCTCTTTCAAACCTGGCGGTGGAAGAACGGGTCGAAAGGGCGTAAACGTCCAATCGTGCCTAAACGGACCTTAGCGTCTTGACTGTTTGACACGCAGCCTGTTCTTGGCCGTTTAGCAGCTACTAGGGAACTAGAAATTCAAGCGGAATAAACGTCGAGCCGATGGGGATCACCGGACACGACTAAAGTCGTTGCCGGTGTGGCAGACTACTGTGCAAAGGCAAGACGCTCGCTCTCCAACGTACAGCAGAAGACAAGTTTTTTTTGGCCACTGCCAGCAAGCAACGCCACGGAAAGCGTGGACGTTCACCGACACGATAAAGAAACTTCGACCTTCGTGAAAATCAAGTAGATTTGCGAAATATCGAAGTTGAATGAAGACAAGAACAATCCGGCAAATCTGCTCGCTACGAATTGAAGCCGCAAGGCTGGAATCCGACCGATGATATGAAGGAACCTTCCGTCTGGAACGCTGAAACGGCAATAACGCTCTCCCAAAACTAGAACAGATAAACTGAATCAAGGAGACTCTGACGGCTTGTATGGTCAAACCCTCATCCCGCTTCGAGGGTAACAACAGGTAAAAGTTCGTAAATCTGCACGATCAGCTTTTTGAGGACGAGTAGCCTTTTGCGATGACGAGAGGCCTTTGGATTAGCAGCTCCGATCTGAACGCCTTCTCAGTATTCGCCACCCGCTCAATTGCTCTCACAAAGAAACCTTTTCTGTCCGCCAAAGCTCAATCGACACATGTCACTACGTGCTTACCTGCACGACCTGCTCTCGGATCGGTTCGGCGTCTGCCCCGTGGTCCACGAGCAGCCACTCCAGCCAAGAGTCGACGTTGGCTGACGTCACCTCCACGAGCTGGATGACGTCAGCGCACAGGCCCGGGACGCCGCATGCGTCAGCGAGCGAGAGGACCTCCTGAAGACACAACAGGGCGTGACAGTCATTGTACTGAACGTAACTCGGATCAGATGTGAGCATCTCAATATGCGGGCGCATAAAGGATGTGGTCACTCCTTCCAAAATCGTGCGCTCGACGGCCTGGAAGTAACAAGGATCCCGAGCAGGCTGGCCGAGGAACATCGAGAAGCGCTCCAGCATCGAGCGAGAAAGATGAATCCAAGCACAGAGCCAATGTCAATAAGTTGACCCGCGGATTAGTGTCCAGATGTTCAGCGATTTACAGTCTGAGCTGTCCAGACCTAGGGTACTCTGGGCCTTTACCTCCAACTTGGATCAACCTCAAGGTCTAAACTTTGCCCTGGGTTGTAAAGGAAGTAACCCATGTGACTGCTTATGGGAAGGTCCCATTATACGCTCGTACTTTCTTTGGATGCCTCCGATTAGGTACGGATACGCAACATTTCAACAGCAGAGCGCTTCCAAGGCCACAATATCAGAGGTGTGCTGCCGAGTCCCGTCGGTATGCTTCTAATGCTCAGGAACTCGACGCCAAGCACCAAGAAACATACGATGAAGGGGTCAAAAGCCATCCTTCTGACTGTACGGGGAATACGAACTTCACCGTGAAAAAGGGACGGTCACTGGAGTTGATTGGATAACGTCAGCACCCAAGCGAGACACCGCCGAACCTGAAATGCCAGTAAGAAACGCACCTGGAGCAACAGACTTTCTGGATTCACTTCGTACAACGACCGAAGGTCCCCATACAGGCCTTGCAGGAAGAGTTTGAGCGACTCTGCTCCGGCGGGGCAAGGCAGGCGCAGGCGCAGTTTGTTGTGCAGGTTCCAGGTGGTCGTCCCCGACCACTCCTCTCGCAACTTCGCCTCAAAGTAGGGCACGTCGATCAGGACGGCGGAGTGTGCCGCAGCCTCTATGCTATCCTACGAGCAAAAACAGGATTCGTTTAGGAAGAAAAGCAGAGGGCAAGCAGCGAAAGCTTGTTCAAGTACTCACTTGGCGCCATGACGCTCTGAACGAAATTGCAGATGATCAAGGGGTGTTAACGACGGCTTTTGTAATGGATACAGGCTCCTCTGCAGAACGTTGTTGTGGACTTTTCAGACCTCTACATGTGCCAATTGTTTGCTACCACTTCAAGCTCCGTTCCTTACAGCCCTCGTATTGCGCTTGCCCCAGGAAAGGGCCAAAAGAAGGAAAACATGTTCCTCCTACCTGCGATTATTGCACACTGATCAATCTCTGGAGTGCGCAGAACATTCGACATACGATCTTCGAGAAGCAGGGAGTCATATTCGATGCTTGTTGAAAGAAGTGACTTCTTCTCCTGGCTTGCAACTGCAGACAAGCGCAAGTATTCTCTTAACAGACTTTTGGGGAAGCACCGCATGCTTTTGCATGCTGTCAGCAAAGAACTGGATAGAGGGGTCAGATAACCACTCACCCCACATACAAGAACAGTGTCTCCTGTCCGATCTGCTGTTTCTAGCAACGCGCTCTTTGTCTCAGGCGCTTTCTTGCAGCGTAGCCGAGTCCAGTCCGGCTTAGGCATCCTCCGTGACACAGAGAGATTGAAGTGAAACATCATATAATCACCTCTCGTCGTGAACCTCAAAAGTCCAGCGCTTGCAAACCTCGTCTGACCGCCCACTAGGAGCATTAACCAACTTCAGGATTCCGGGATCAAAAGTGGAAGCGTCGCCATTGAGCTCCCGAGCGTTGCACACTTCAAGACCTGCTAGAACTGGCAGGCAGAAGTGTGGGCCTCCATCCGCTGCAGTTATAGTCAAGCACCTTGTTGGATCAAAATATACCATCCAAAGCTTTGGGTCGCCAGTATACGCAGCACCTCTTGTTTGAGTCACACTTAAATCTGCACTATGAAAGGCAAAGCAATCCTGCAACGAGAAGCCTAGCACATAGTGCTTTCTTTCAAGACATGCTATGTTTTGGCGCACGAAGACTTTGAAGCACATCTTGACCTCTCGGAGAACCTCCCTGGGTGCTGTGCTTGACGCAGGGGATTGCTCAGCGCATGCATTGGCGCATGGTGGTAGGTTTCCAGGTGCCTCTGAGAACCCCGCCAATGATGGAGCAGGGTCGATAATATTGACAGAAGTGGAGTACGGCGTGCACAACAAATTGCTCATGGTTATGATCCCCCTGTAATACTTGCAGCAAAGTCCACTTAGCTGCCACTAGCTTGTAGATACCAGGTGATTTGTTGTGGTGTAGGCGGGCTACTGTATCCAATCAGAAGAGCAGACATAGGATCAGACAAGACACTACAATGCAGACAAATATGGTTGCATCACAAGCTCTCTTCACTTATCAAATCCTGACCAAGTTGGATTCTTTATGCAGGTTAACCCTAGCTTCCTCCGTGCAGCTCCACTTCCAATAATGCCCACTGCTCCGCCAATGCTGCCTATAATTAAACTTAAAGGGTAAGGTCAGTCACAC